TGCATGTCCGCAAGCACATTTAGAGGGCACTCCTTGGATCTTCCATCCATAGCGTAGGCGTATGCTGTCTTGGAACTCTTGCTTGTTTAGAACATAGTTGAGGTCCTTTAGAGGTAATGCTGAAAGCCATGTTGATGCTCCCTTCTCTCTTGCTTGGTTTAAGTGGTTCTTAAGAAGATAATCTGACCCATTATAAAGCATCTTGAACCTTTGTGATAGAAACTCATCTTTCTGTTTTCTCAGTTCTTCTTTCTTTTCTTTCATCTTGCCCATATCCAGCTTGGTAATATCCTGGTCTTGTTGGTTGATCAAACTCACAAGATCTTTAGTGAGTTCTACTGAGAATGCATATTCACGAGATGCTATCCTGACAGGATTGATGATACCTAGGCCTCCACATCGAACAGGGAGTTCAAGGATATCTCTTTCATGCTGGTTGACAGGGCGACCGAGGAGGGCTGGAATGAGCACATGCATGATCTTGCTCTCTAGTGGGACAAAGTGCTCTCCAATGTCTGGTATAGTACGCATGTAGTATCTCCATCTGTGGCATATTCCTTTAATAAAGGCCGAATAAGCCAGTTGTGGTTCTTCCGTCGCTATATCTGCTAGTTGATCAATATCAACTATCCATTTTTCAACTTTTTCTTTGATGTACTCTTCCCTGAATTCTTTTGAGCCTACAACAGCACCAAGATGGCGTTCTCCGGATGTCGTGATCTTAACTCCCAGGTGTTTAAATAGGGTCTCTGCTTCAATTAGCTCTTCGGGATTTTTTGACAATCAGAATTGTCTTTTTAGCGTTGGGGTGGTACCCATAGCTTGGGCCTATTTCACAGAGTCTATTCCACCAACTTCGATAAGAATGAGCTTGTATTTTAAAACAGAGTCCTTTGACTTTATTATTTTGAAATTGAAGAATCGTTTGGCCATAACTCATTTCGTTCGCATTATAGATTCACATTCACTTTCATTTTCACTATCACGCACAGTACAGGGTCATACCTCAATACAAAATTATTATAGGGCACAAAAACAAATTTGTTTACAATTATCAAAATTTGTTGAGCCCAGCAGCTTACTTCAAGAAAACAACAAATTTCAAGAAAACAACAAATTTTTATTTAAATCAATTATAGCAACAATTTGAAAAACTTTAAAGCTCTTCTATTACCATGGAATATACTACGGGTATGGTGACTTGGGCTATTGAGTTGTTAAGTAGATTAAGATTAGTAAACCTGCACTTGCATTGTATATTTTATAAAAACTAGAAATTAGGCTTCACGGTAAAATGGAGAAGCAGGCTGATCTTGGAGAGAGCAGACCGTAAAGTTTACGCACCCACCAGGGCTACCTACCTACCCCAGTTGTTCTTTTTGGTTTATCAGCTTGTATTGTTATATTTATGGACCCCAAGTCACCACACTAAGAAGGAGTATGTAAAAAAAAAAAATAATAATAATAATAAATTAAGTTAATATCATCATATCTGTTTAAAACAGTAAAAGTCAAGTTGAGGATTGACTTTCCTAGTTAATTTAAAGGTTCAAACGTTTGGGAATATAATAATGTTGGTATTTGTATCTGCTGCAGCAATAATATCGAAATATCATTTGTCTAGAAAATTTTCGCCACTTCAATAGATATTGGGTCGGCAATTTGGTGAGTGAGTGATGAGATGGTTTGGTCTGTGATTGGGTGAGGGGCGATGTGAAAGTTGTGGTAAGTCCAGGTGTTATTATTGTTGATGGATTGAGATCCCAGGATGATACTTTTACAGCGTAATTTAACCAAAGATACAGAAGTAGTGAGGACTTCCTTTCCTCTCTTCCCCCGTCGTCTGGAGTGTGTGATTTTTGTTGATATCCGAGCTCTTATTTTTATCTTTTGGTTAACTTTCTGTGATTGGACTCGGTATTTTCGTCCCGGCCGAGTGGGACGATGCTTGCTCGCCAGTTAAGCTATACTGTAGATAACACTAATTTCTACAAACCAAAATATTAAATATAAAATGTGTCCAGTATGGCGCAAATGCATAATTTGATAATTTCTTGATGCCATCGTCGGGGTGAGAGTTATCTGAACCAACTGCATGCCCCTACGATTGCGTCACCACTGGTGAGCAAGCATTTGTTTGTTGTTTAGTTGTGTTGAAAGGGAACATTACTTGATTAATTCATCCATTCGGATTTTAATAACGATGAGCTATGATATACCGTTCATCTTAGATTATTGGATCAATCTTATTATATGATTAGATTTTATAAACGAACTTGGCACACAAAAGATTATAATGCGGAGGTTGGCTGGCTCTTCTATAATAAATACGACACTTCAATTTACAGAATGCTTGCTAGAGATAAGACAAAATATTATCAGACTATACATGCAGCATGAGTAACTGGTGGATAAGCCTTCGGTAAAAACGGATCCGGAAAAGTCAATGCGGCACTCGGGTCCTTGGTATTGTCGTCGGTATATTGTCCATTATCTACGTTCTGCTTTCGTAGTTTAAACAATAGTGAGTTCTAAATATACAGCTTTAAACCGATTAAGTATGAATGAATGAAATACCTGACAATCCGCACTCTTATAATCCAAAAGCATGAGTAACTCGTAGTGATGTATGATTTCTAGAAACTTTAAATTAAATTTGGCGCTCACAGGTCCTCATGAATATGTGATCGCCGCATAAGGTTCTGTAAATGCGCAGGGCACCTTCAAGCTTAAATTATTCACCTTACTGAGGCAGTCAACCAATGCGCGGCTTTATTTTTATGATATGATATGTTTTGATTGTTATTAATAAATACCAAAATTTAAATTTTTTTCCTAAAATTTGTTTTCCTACAACAATATTATTTATTTAATGTTATAAATAGGATTTAAGTTCGGTTCAAAATTTTTATTCCTTTTTTAGTTAAATATGTCAATAACTTACCAAGGAGCATGTCAAACATATTAAACGCTACTTTTTTACTTAGCTAGCTAGTTTATTTCCAGCTTCTCTAGAGGAGAAAAAGTGAAATGAATATTTACGGATGGAAAATTATGCAAGGTATGCAGTATTGTGATTCGGAATTGATATTTACAAATATATCGTTTCGAATTGGTTTCAACTGTGGCAGTGAACTTTCTTATCGTCACTCGTGTGATAATATGTATGATCAAATATTGTACTTACTATGGCTAGAGAATACTTTCTTAGATATTTTGGACAGTTTTTAATATTGGTAATGTTAATGAATTGTAATTGATTGATATGTAATATTTAGGCCTGTGGCCAGTTTTCAACTTACTATGTGAAAAAATGTGTAGATATTGCATTGGAATTTCTTAATTGAATGGCCTTGTTGCTTGTGTATATCAATAATGCTTGTTTATTGTTACACTGTTCCCGAATCTCCCATCAAAATGATTTTAAATAAATATTAACATTGTTAATAAAAAGTAAAGTACATCGTATCAGACAATCAAATGGGGTTAGTAAGAGATGGAACTATATGTGCAGAACTACCCCTGGAGTTGCAGATAGGCTCAGTCCGCTGGGACAAGTAACACGTGATGAGTTTATCCCAGCTTTCATTAACAGGCTGTTTAGCTGCACTGATGAACTAAGAATCATAATAGCTCTACCACCAAGATATGCAGGATTGGGTATCCCAGTTATGATGGAAATGGCAGATAGGTTGTATCAATTCTCCTGTAATGCAACAAGACAGTTAAAGGAAGCTATTCTCAATCAGGAAGAAAATTACTCAATGAAACAATAAATTCAATGAAACAATAAATTTAATTTTAGCACATTTTTACAGAATAAAAAGATGTAAAACAATTCATAAAATATAATGCCCATTTGGTGTTTAATTTTTTTCCTGACTGCTCGTTTGGTTTAAGAAGGAGAGGTAACTAACGGGGCAAGGAATGCGCGTGCCTGGAAGCTTTTGCACACACCGAAACGCTACTTCAGTTAAGTTTTTAGAGACAAGGCTCAGATTAGGACTAGAAGAAAAATTGTCAGCAGACATTAGGGCTTCTGTTTATAATTGTTACTATAGGTTGCAGTCTTGTTGTGACAAAAAGTCTACACTAAAACATGATTTAGTTTATATTTAGGATATAAAATGCAGCTTCGAGGTGGATATTGGAGAGCTGGTGAAAGATTATGGCCTTTGTATCAATGGTTATAATAAGCTATAAATATCTTAAACTATACAGTGCTAATTAAAAATTTCTTTAAACTTCATTCTCAAATTAGATTTTTAAAATTCAAAGATTTACTGTACTCAGAGGACAGGACACAAAGCAAAGAAGTGAAAGCCGAAATAACCACAGAACGAAATCTCTATCATCGACAAAAACAATCAGAGATACGTCAGGAGTACCAGTTGCATGAAAATGGGAAAAAACGGTGTTACAACGCAAGGGTTCCCAAAGTGGATAAAGGAAGCTTCACACCGTTAGTTTTCTCAGCATCTGGTGGATTGGGTGGTGAAGTGGAAAGACTGTTGAAAAAGCTGGCCAGTAATATAGAATATCACACAGTTCAAAGATATTCAGATGCGGTAGGATACATATTCAAGAAAACAACAATTTCAAGAAAACAAACATATAAGGAAGCACATTTGTTTCGAAATCCTTAGAACAATAGTGATTTCTCTCCAGGAAGATAAAGGTGCAAGAAAAAACTTTGTTGCAATTGGGAAGAGTTAAATTTAGAGACACAAGGCCAATTGTGATTTAAAAGTGGTTCAGTCAATATTTTAGAAGAGGAATATATACTAAATTTTTGATTTTGTATAGGGTCATTGTGATATAAATTTCACATAATAAACTTATAGATAACGAGTCAAACAAAATGCTTGGTAACCCCATTAAATTTTAAATCTGTTTGGCATATGCATTTTTTCAGATCATGTCTCACACATAATAGGGATGCCGGAAAATATTGTCGTTAATTATATAACTTACTAACAAGCTGATAAAAATTTTCAAAGGATTGAAAAATGTACTTATGAGAGAATGCTGGATACCAGTTTGCTGTTTGTACTATGAAGGATACGCCAATATCCACTAGATGTCTTAAGCTTCACCAATTTCTTTCTGGCCAGCCTCTCTTTGCAAATGTGAGTAAATTGCAATGTTACTATTGAATATGATTATATACACACAAAATGGTTAATTGATTAATACCTTGATGAGTTATACTTTGTTCACTTTTACACATTTGCTCACATCACTCACAGTCAGCCGCTCTGACATGGTTAACCACCTTCCTTGTGTTGTTGGTTAATCATATGAGCAGGATATAAATACCTCATTTCATTTCATGCTGTAATCTATACTGATAAAATTGTCTCAACACTTTTTGCACTTTGTTATAATAGGATATATCTATAATTCCAGGTAAAGAAATATTGACAGGTTTTGAGTTTTAACAGTTTTTCAGTGTACGAACCTAAATTGAGAATATCTTCCAGCAATTATGCTTATCAATAAATATTTAATCTGCTCTTTTCAGGATTTTTTGTCACCACGAGAGGCATTGCTAGATGTCCTTCTTGCTGTCCATGTAGAATGCAAAAATTCTGAAAAGTTGAAAAGGGAAAAAGCGTATGCATCGTTTATACAAAAGTATGATTCTCTGGTTACTGAATTGAACGGTCTGAAGCTAACTAAAGAGGATTTTGAACCTAAAAATGTTATTGGAAGAGGTCACTTTGGAGAGGTTATTATAACTATTTTTAATTTGTGTGAGAAGTACCTTTAGCTATGTAGTGTCTCCAAAAGGTTAGCACGAGAAAATTTACTGAGAACATATAAGTTGTTTGTCACATCTCACATGCCATTTCATTGCATCTTGAATATTTGTAATTCTAGGTCCGACTGGTGAGAGAAAAGTACACTGGCTGTGTTTACGCCATGAAAACTCTCAACAAACAAGCTACTCTTGACCAAGACTCTTCTGCGTTCTTTGAGAATGAGCGAAACATTATGGCTAACGGATCTAGTCCCTGGTTAACTGCCCTGGAATACGCATTTCAAGACCACGAGAACTTGTACCTCGTTATGGAGTTTCACCCTGGTGGGGATCTGTTATCATTCTTGACCAGACAAGAGAGTCAAACTGTGAGTTTTCAGCAATTATTGTAGATTAGTCAAACTTTATTTGCGATTTTGCTTTGAAGTTATGACTTGTCATTTTACTTTGAAATTATGACATTTCCGACTGTTGACTATCATGACTGATTCCTACGCTGGGCACGTTGAAACACACGGTTACCTTGCAACTCTCTTCAATTAAACAATACGTACCTAGACAAGCTCTTACCGGAGGTTGTACTGTTGCCTACACCTTTCAGGAACAAGCAATGCAAGTCAACTAATTAACATTCCAATTGTACAAGAATTAATCCATATTAACTAATTTGCCTGCAAAATTGTCCCAAATGTCCAACAATGCCATTCAGTTAATTTTTTGCACTCAAGTGCAGTGCAGTGGCAATACTTTCGGCAGAAGTCATTATCACAAATATTTTGAAATCGAAGACTAAGTGTATATTTTGAACATAATGATGATTGACAGGAACTTATTTTCGGTTATTTCGATGAATTTCATTAGATCGGGATTGTCACATACTCATCATTCTCATCTCATTAAGATATAATTACATTTAAAGCTTTTATGTAGATACGCTATTTACTTTTCAGATGGATGAGGAAATGTTGAAGTTTTACGGTGCAGAGATGGTGCTCGCGATCAACGCGCTCCACGAACTAGGATTTGTCCACAGAGATATCAAGCCTGATAACATCTTGTTAGACAGGTACTTATCTTTAAACCAGATAGTTTTATAACGCTTTACGCTGCAACCATGTCAGGTAGCCAAAAATCGTCTGACTACAATATAATAATATATGACAATTTAAATGTAAAGCTCAGGGTAGAATATATTTCAAAGGATCATCAGTATATAAGGTACCATTGCCATTGGCGTACAGATAAAAATGTGACATGGTTTCAAAATTGTGTTCCCAATTCAAGGAACACGTGACCAAATATCTTGTTAAAATGTATTTTTGATTACAAGACCGCTCACCGTTGATTATTCAGTCACATCGGAATGTAACGACCTCAAACTAATATTTACTGCGTGAAGTAACAGATTAATTCAATGTTACAGAGCATATAATGACAGTTTGGTCGGGGTATTTTCAAGTAATCTCTGATCTCTCTGACAGGTTTTTGAGTGCCCTCCCTTGATGTGTGAGCCACTATACAGTTTGTAGTATTAAGCGTTAAAATAGCAACACGATCTGACTCAGCTCTTGAACCAAGATGGGGATAATCTATCTGAAACAGAGTGTGAATAAAGTATTATAGCCGTTATCAGTACAAACATGATTTTAAAATAACTATTCGTTAAATACGAGGTATAATTCTAAGCCCCCAAAACAAGAATAGAATTGTGTTCGGTGTGGTGACTTGCCACAATTTAGGCTCTGACAAAAGCCCCAGGTTACAGTATGTCAATCTTTAAAACTTCCAACCTTGAATAATTTTCAGGAAAGGGCACGTTAAGTTAGCCGACTTTGGCTCCGCGGCCCGCATCATAGACGGTAAAGTACAGACGGGCATGCCAGTAGGGACTCCTGATTACATTGCTCCTGAAGTTTTACAGGTAAGGTTCAGAGTGACTTGTCTGTTTGAACACGCTGGATTTTGTGTTCTACAAATTAGTGTAAAAATGTGAAATCAGAGGTTACGAGTAAGGGTGTTAATTTGGAAATGGAGTAGTGTTCTTAATCACAGGCTTTAATACCGCGACCTGTGTTCTGTTTGTCTTGTGGTGGGTGTGGGTGTGGATGTGGGTGTGTGTGTGCATAACTAATACGTCATAATCTTCATTTATAATATTATGTACATTGTACAGTGTACTCTACTAAATATGTAATGTACGCATAAATACGCGTATATCCTCATTCTTAAATAATGAACTGTAAATATCAAAGTATGGAGGGAGTTGCCACACTCACATATCCTTCATTATTAAAATAATTAATTAATTAATTATACAGGCTAGGGCCATTATAAGTTAATGTGCAAACCTTTGGATGTATTTCTCAGTCACTCAGTGCTCGATTGAGACTTAACTTGCGATTATCGCTCGTTCGAGGAATCTATCAAATAATCCGTCAAATAAAATGATGAAGATATTCAATTTTTCGCACGAAGGTTCATTTTCGCATTTTTTAGATATTTCAAATGATTGGATCAAGCCAAATTGTGATGCATCGTGTCTTGCCATTAAAATGACACTTATTCCAAAGAGATAGTAACTGTAAAAAGCCCAAACGTTTGTATACTGACCCTGTATACATAATAATAAGCTTTAATTTTGATTTCCAGAGCATGGAGGGTAAACGTTGTCAGCCGTACGGTACAGAGTGCGATTGGTGGTCTCTTGGTGTCGTTATTTACGAGATGTTGTACGGAGAGACACCCTTCGCTGACGGTGTGTAACTCTTTAATTGATTATATAATTAGTCAATTAATGCTTATTAAACACATTAGGATTATATGTCTAGAAAGATGACGGCAGGGACAATAAGATTTTGGTCCTAGTTATGTTAAAAGCAATATAAAGTAATTTGTAGATCATCATTATGATATTAACCTTACATATTTTGAATCTTTTTTGAAACTTAAAGTACATCAAATTAAGACTCTATTTAGATTATTTAAATCGCTTAATATAATATAACCAACCAAATCCCGCGGCAGACACGATGGTACAGATTTACAGTAACATCATGAACTTCGAACAAAGACTGGAATTTCCTGAGGATGATGACTGGAAATTATCAGACGAGGGAGTCAGTCTTATCAGGAGTCTTATCTGCAAACAACGCGTCAGGTAATTGTTATAATTAGTAATTAATTAATTAGTTAGTGTATCAATAATACGTTAAGCAATTTTTATAATCAACAATTAATTTATTAGTTAGTGTATCAATAATAAGTTTTCAAGTGGTTGGTTTATTGACAAAATTCCTCTTAATTAAGGAGCAGCTCTTAAGGTATTTGCCATTATGTTGATTGACGTTAGGTATCAATAAGAATTAATTACAACATGGTCACTTGGTCTGTAATTTGTGTAAAATGTAGTGTTATTTTATAAAACCTCAAGCTCAGTGGCTGTATTCGACTCTAAACTTTTTGAGGGAAAAGTTCCAAGCCTGAACCAGATTTTAATTGTCCTATTATATTTATATAGTCATATTATGTTTTGTTTTGCTAGGTTGAAAAAATGCCTTATTAAAATGCCTTATTAAATGCCTATAAAAAATACAACAAGTGAGATAAAACATACCAGTAATCCCACAAATATTTAACATTGATTTGTCCAGGTTAGATTTCACTGGACTAAAAGACCACGTGTTCTTCTCCAAAACATCCTGGGACTCCATCCTAACGGCTCTCCCGCCTTTTGTACCGGAGCTGAGGAGCATTGACGACGTGTCTCACTTTGACTACGAGGATCTCGCTCCTAGGTAACTTGTGTGATTGTGTGTGATTATATAGGGTTATATACAGGTTACAGGTTATCAGGTTATCAGGTTATCAGGTTATCAGGTTATTAGGTTATCAGGTTATCAGGTTATCAGGTTATCAGGTTATCAGGTCATCAGGTTATCAGGTTAACAAGTTATCAGGTTATCAGTTTATCAGGTTATCAGGTTATCAGGTTATCAGGTTAACAGGTTATCAGGTTATCAGGTTATCAGTTATATAGGTTACAGGTTATCAGGTTAAATACAGGTTACTAGGTTACCAGGTTATACTAAATATACATATATACAGGTAACCAGTTACCAGGTTACCAATTACCAGGTTACCAGTGTTTTCTTCTTGACAATGAAAGTCATGTGATCGATTTGATGAGGCTAATAGTGGTAGCACTAAAAGATATTGAGTGTCATATATATATTATAAGATATCTATTTCTGATTGTTTTTCAACACAAACGCTAATATTCACTTGTACATCCTCCTCGTTTAGAAACGATCAGGAATTGTTCTTGATTCAATTAATTACTGTGGAATCAGTACGTGGTTACTATTTATCTTCTTTCGAATCTACGATTACTTAATAGGTGGCATCAACATAAATACGTGATTTTTAATGATATGAGACAGCAGTTATACGTAATGAAAATTCAATAGCATGACTCTTTAGCCAATCTGTGTCACAATAATTAATTTATCATAGCATAGCAGTTAGCACAAAGAAATCATAAAAATGTAACTTTTAGAGTTGTCCAAAATCAGAATGTTACTAGTACCAAGCAAACTTACTTCTTTCAACGATCCAATTTATTAAATTTTTGCCGATTTAATTACTGTAAGCTTATTATATTATCTAATACGATATAATATAGGATACTATGATATATTATTATGTTCCCTATCGTGCGTCGCCTCCAGGACTGTATCCATCATGTAAAGGCGTAACCTGGTAAACGAGGTATAAGCGCTGCTTTTAAACCGTCACGTCTTTATAATCATTAAAAATAAATTAAATTTAAACTAAACATTATAACTTAAAATTCAGGATTTACATAAACGTCACGTCTGAATTCTAGATTTGGTAATAATATGTTACATAATAAGATTATAAAAACAGTAAGATAAACGTGTCCAGTAGTATGACAGTAATAACATGCAGTATTACTATGACAGGTGCCAGTAAAAAAGTAGAGCTCTGTTTTAACTGACACTCAACTTGTATGAGTTCTCACCTGCGTTGTATTGTAGACGCATTGCTCCTTACACTATTGATTCTATTGGTGGGGGAGGGGGGAGCTGGAGGAGGCGGGATTAATAAAATACCTGGCACACCCTTCTTATACAGCGACGAGCTGACTTTGGGCGCTATCCCTTAAGTTATTGGTGAACAGAAATATTTGTATCTCTCTAGTGTCTGCAAGCTGTAAAACGTGTTCTAATTAAAACCCTGTATTTTGCTTAAGCTAAGTTATTATAGCAAGTCGATGTCTAGAATCTGGGTTAGGCTGGGTGAAGAATTTAACATAACATCAAAGGGAACTCTCGGTTCTCACTTACCTATACAAAGTAAAGAATAAGTATCTTACTGTACTGCAAGGATTTTTAAAATTCCTGGCAAAATATGTTAAAAAATTCAGTGCACAAGGAAAAAGTATGGTTTATTTTGTTTTTTGTACTGTGATAGAATGTGAGCTGGAATTTGGAAACGGTGTAAAAACGCTTTTTGAATTGAGAGTAGAACTGTTTCAGCACGTCTTGGTGTTTTTGTAGCTAACACCAAGAAGTCACGTGATATTATTATCATTTCAGATAGCTCATTAAAACACTCCTCAATGAAAACACTCAATATAAAGCGATGTCTATCTTGTACACAAAAGTGTAAGATCATTTAATTATATAATTACGTAATCATATCACATTCTGCGTGTGTTTCAGTCAGAACAGAGCTTTACGAAACGGAGGCAAATTCGGGAGTCGTTCGACCAACTTTACCGGACATGATCTTCCTTTCTGTGGGTTTAGCTTCAGTAAAAACCTTGTCGACGCCGCTCAGGTAAAACTAATGATAATGGTGTTGGTTTTAAGTGATCATACCTCAACCCAGGCCACGTACAGTCAGTTTTGTTGCATTTTGGAATGTAATTAATGATATTACAGTATGTGGAATGCAACGATTATTATTAAGTGCTTCGCTTTAATTAGGGTTACTTTTTAATTTATTGTCCTAGGTAGCAGCAAGTTCCACAATGGGTGGTAACAACCAAGAATTAGAATCCCAGATCACGCAGAAAAACAGGGAACTTAAAGAAAACAAAGAAAAGGTATGTCACAAAATCTTAATATTTCAATGTTATGAATATCATTAACAAAGTAGACATGAGTTCGGCACCATTTTAAATTTCTAGGAAATAAGCAAGTCTGTTCATGTTATTTTATAGACATATTTGTCTCCACAATTATCCTTTAAAAGTATACAGCGTATCTTGCCGCAAATACAGAAATATTTATTACCCAATGAAAGTGAGCCACTGTGACCACTGCCTGACACAGTTACTTCTCGACTGAACTTACATTAATATGGTCGGCACTCGGTAGCCGACAATCTGGGAACACCTCTTTAAGTTTGTGAAATGTTAAGTAGTTTGTCATATATCATTTTATTGGACCTTTACATTCTCTACCTATAATGCTCAGTATATAGTAGCTACCTAGTGTTGGGAAAGGTGTTTAGTTGTTCACTTTCACTTTCACTTTCACTTTCACTTTCAGATTCACCAGTTACAAATAGAGAATACAGATAAGAAGCAGGCAGTTCAGGAATTAACGACTGTTCTCGGTGAAAAGAAAGCTTCATTTGATGAAGTCTGTGTAAGTACAGTGCTCGTTATAAAAAGTCAAGCTACTGCAGGTTAATAGGTTATATAGGTACTAATAATGAATAAAACCTTGCAAATCAAGAATCTGCCGCTTTCTTTTTGATACATATTTTGTGATTATCAAAATAGTTTCATTTTCTTAACGTTTATTTGTACAGAGAGAGAATGAAGAGATGAGACAAGATAACGTTTTGCTGCAAGCTAAGATGAACAACAAACAACGTCAGTTTAAGCAACTGGAGGCTGACCATAAGAAACTATCTGCTGAAGTAGAGCGAAATATGAAGTCGAGCATGCAGGTAGTTTCACTTTCGATTTCTCTTTCACTTTAACGTTAAGTTGCTAACTCCACGAATACGATAGCGAAAATCTGTTGAAGTTTCACTTTCACTTTCGGTTTAAAATTATCTTTATAAATGACTGTATGGTCTCAACAGCAGGCACTCAATGACACTGAGAGTGAAGAACTCCTTAAGTGTAAGAGGAAGATTACTGAGATGGAACAGCAGGGAGATGTGCTCCAGCGCCAGAAATCTAGGTAAGATTCCTTTTGTATTACATCAGCTAATTCTTGATTAGGAAACTCAGTGAATGTTAGACCGAAGAGTAAAAGAGTTGCCAATTTTCTCCAATTTTCAACATAATTATAAAAGTTATGTGGTATACAGCAGCATCAAATAAACTGTAAACTGGTTTCAAGCGGGTCTCTGGTCACCCTTAGCTTGTTGTTAACCTTGTTATAAATCAAGAGGCTTGCATACAATGAACATATTGACATGGGTGCAGAGTTGAATCTGTACGGAACCTAGTAGTTTCAGTTCCTTGTTTAACTTGCCGTACAGCAAGGACATCCACTACTTTAGCCCGGCGAGGCACATAGCCCACTCTACAACCGCATGTCAAATGTTTCATATATACTAGCCAAGTTCACAAGATATATCCTTGTGTTTGAGAAGCGCTCTTTAGAACTGCTTCCTTTCCCTTCAGTATCCCACAGTCTCTCGAGTTTTTATGACACGTGACAAGCGGGTTCCTGGTCACCCTTAGCTTGTTGTTAACCTTGTTATGACAAGTGACAAGCGGGTCTCTGGTCACCCTAAGCTTGTTGTTAACCTTGTTATGACACGTGACAAGCGGGTCTCTGGCCACCCTTAGCTTGTTGTTAACCTTGTTATGACACGTGACAAGCGGGTCTCTGGTCACCGTTAGCTTGTTGTTAACCTTGTTATGACACGTGACAAGCGGGTTCCTGGTTACCCTTAGCTTGTTGTTAACCTTGTTATGACACGTGACAAGCGGGTCTCTGGTCACCGTTAGCTTGTTGTTAACCTTGTTATGACACGTGACAAGCGGGTTCCTGGTTACCCTTAGCTTGTTGTTAACCTTGTTATGACAAGTGACAAGCGGGTTCCTGGTCACCCTTAGCTTGTTGTTAACCTTGTTATGACACGTGACAAGCGGGTTCCTGGTTACCCTTAGCTTGTTGTTAACCTTGTTATGACAAGTGACAAGCGGGTTCCTGGTCACCCTTAGCTTGTTGTTAACCTTGTTATGACACGTGACAAGCGGGTTCCTGGTTACCCTTAGCTTGTTGTTAACCTTGTTATGACACGTGACAAGCGGGTCTCTGGTCACCCTAAGCTTGTTGTTAACCTTGTTATGACACGTGACAAGCGGGTTCCTGGTCACCCTTAGCTTGTTGTTAACCTTGTTATGACACGTGACAAGCGGGTCTCTGGTCACCCTTAGCTTGTTGTTAACCTTGTTATGGCACGTGACAAGCGGGTCTCTGGTCACCGTTAGCTTGTTGTTAACCTTGTTATGACACGTGACAAGCGGGTCTCTGGTCACCGTTAGCTTGTTGTTAACCTTGTTATGACACGTGACAAGCGGGTCTCTGGTTTCCCTTAGCTTGTTGTTAACCTTGTTATGACAAGTGACAGCGATTGACCAATCACACCGCGGCTCATCGATCAGTTCTTTGTAGACTGTAAGTATTGTGTTGAGAATATCACTTAGTTTTGATCCTCGCACGAGACTGGGGAACTAAATAAGACTGACATCCCAGACGTTCCAAACAGGCTACAAACCCCACGTTTCAGACGTTCCAAACAAGTAATATAGTATAGCCCAAGTTGTGAACACAGGAATTTGTCCAGCATGTCAATTGTCAGCCTACTTGCTACTTCAAAGTATCTACTTTAACATAATACTATAATATCGCGGCCATGTCTTAGTGAGTGTTAGTGAGTGTTCGGGAAATCTGACTGATCACAATTAGTAACTTTGTGCCAGTTTATAGAACTTTGTAGTTGACAGTCGTCTGTCTGGCTAGTTGACGAGATTATCTGTTGTTATTGAGCTACTACTTTACTCCGAGATAGTCGATAGAGAGGTGGGATAGTACAACAAATTTATAATATATTATGTAACTGCTTTATCATATTATTATTAGTAATATTAGTGAGAGCTGTCTCGTGGTGAATCGCGTCTGGAATTTGTTAAAATATTTAAATTTCAGTGTTTTTTATAATGTGCGTGTTACATAAAATGCTGTACAATGTTTTACAATGTTATACAATGTACATTTCCCAGAAATGTGTTCAAGCAATATTCCGAAAGATAACACGTTTATTAGGGTAACATGCTGTGTCACTAAAATGTGGATTCTGTTACAGTTTTGCAAACGACGTATTTTTGTGGGCTGTAAATTAGTACAAGACCGCTGTTCGTTTATCTTCATTACAATATTATGTGTTATTAGTATTCATTACGGAATATTTTGGGAGTCGGGTTAGAAAATAAAGAACAGGTTTCATAAATTGAAATGAAGCCATTATCATTAAATTGTGAAATTTAATGATACGTAACTGAATAAACAGGAAACTATTTTTCAATCAGTTGTTACCGATTCATTATGTAGTGATAGTTTTTCCTTTGTTCTTAATGAAATCCAGCGTCTTTATTGTAACTTCACGATATCATTTGATATTCACAAAAACGGCCGTTTGTTATAAATCCTGTGAATATGTTTAATATCTATAATGTGGCTTAAATTACATCACATATAATGTTACAATGTAACACATTGTCATAATAATGTCCGGTGTAATGCGGTGTATGTTGCAGGTTGCTAACACCACTTTCCCTCCTCGAAATAGAATCTTTGTCCACCGTCCATGTCAAATAATTTGACTTGAGAATTGTTAATTAGTTTAATTAATAACAGGAAGTTGTCATATGCTGAGACTCAGTCAGCTGGCTTAGCTCGTCAATCATATGATTATTCAATAATTATGATATCATGCAGTGTGTTTTGGATTGAAAAAGTAAGAAAATTAATGAATGTTTAGCAACAATTAATGAAAATTGGTTAACAGTTGACATAAATTTATCACCAATTTCCTGAGAATTTGGCGCACTTAAAATAAAAGCTGGTTAAAACTTAGACTTACGCTCAAAACCTTTTCATACAAGTCTAGTTTAGTCTAGTCTCGTTTAGTCTAAGTCTAGTTTAAACTTTAAGTTATGCGACATTTTGTTGCACTCCGTCTACTACTAGTATGAAATAACATTGCTAGTGATCGTAGATATTGGGGTGAACTTTTCAATTTTATACTTGAGTACAAGTCAATCCTTACAAAGGATCACGTTTTGGTTCTAAATTATTTTAGGATTGTTGATATTTGTAAGATTGAAAATAATAATAATAAAATAATATTTATGTTCAGGTTAGAAGAGGAGCTACTGCAACTAACAGATAAGAGTAAAGTTCAGAAGAAGAACATAGTCGATTCTCAGACTAAATATGCTGTGGACACTGAGAAACTGAGAAAGAAACTGTCAGATCTTCAGTCTGAACTCCTTGCTAAAACAGATGAGGTAACGCATTACGCATAGTTTAATACTTCCAACACTAAAATATAACAAATAATTTGAGGAAGCGATGTAACTGAGTCGATATATTTTAATGTTGCCATGGGATGGCAAGTCCTCATTCATCGTAGTCCGATAGTTTCACTGCATCCTATAATGAAATAGTGCAGTTCTGTTTGCTTCTCGTTTTACTGTTGATCTTGATGACGTCACTGATTCAACATTTAAAAGGCTTAGAGAATCCCTAATATGCACATTACATTCGACTGTTCGGCTGAATAAATCCTGAATTTATCCAGTCGATAATTTGTGAGATGTATTCTGGAACTAATACTGTCTGAATTGGCAGTATTTCTGTCAGAGAGCATTAGAATTGTGACCTGATTGCACCGGATAGATGCCACATAATTGAGTCCAGTAACATTCTATCAATCACACATTTAGCTGATACTACGTAATCTGTATCACCAGATAATATCTGGTATCTGGTATCTGTGTTAGAGATAGTTCACGCTGTAATAACTGTAGAATAACACTGCAGCAAGTCATTAATAACTCGTTAATATGTGAGATAATCGGCTTTTACACGCGATCTTATATTACGCAGCTGAGTTTTTAACATAGCAAGATCTGTATACTATCCTGCAATAAAGGGGGGCTCAGGTGTCATTTGCTGCAAAATGCCCAAAATAAAGGCCCCCCTCTCCGATATACAAGTGGTGCTCTACGCTATTGCTGAGAATTAGTGCCCCCCTCCCTTAAGATATGGATTGTGATGTATGCCTGGAATTAGTGACCGAGCCCCCCTCACACCAGATATGCAAGTGGTGCTCGCTTCTAGGAATTAGTGTCCACGTTAAGTCTGCATGCTTCCCATACACCTATGATACATTACATTCCAGCTACATTCTTTACTGGTGTTATGAAAGATCATCTATGAGGTGCAATTTAAACATACTGTGAATGTTAAGTATTCCTGCAATGTTTTCGTAATCACTGCAATGTTGTGTTTAACGTTGGGTGGGCCCGCTCATCGAGACTGAGAGCTCCTCAACCCACTGTTAAATATACATCAGAGAGAAGTATGCGAAAGTCGTGTTTAAGTGTTTACCTGGCCTGGTATTTCAAGTTCTGCAGTTCTAAGTATACCACATACTTTACTTCTACGGTTTGTTGTGACAGGACCGCATCATCGGAGACTAGTGCTGCTCACACTACGTCCAACGCTCCAATCACAAGCTCTGAATCAAAATAACCGACCAATCACAAAACGTTTTTAGATTTTACTATAGAATCACAATTTTGTAGCTTTACTGTAACAACTATAATTAATCACTCTGTATTTCAGCACAACAAGTCTGAGGAAAGGTTGCGCGCGAGTCAGAACAGTGAGCAGGATCTGCAAGTTATGCTGGATAAAGCGCGCACGGACTGCGGGGACCTGCAGCGCGAGCTGAACACCGCAAAGAGCAGCAGTAACAGTGCGCAGGAGCGGGAACTGATGGAGCTTAAGAACAGAAACGAATACCTGCAGAAATCTCTTGATGATAAGGTATTTATTTGTCACGTGTGATATCATGACGAGTGATAATTAATAATTGAAAGTCTCCCGCTTAACAATTTTCGTATCGATTGCATATTAAGAATCCCCATAAAATTTCGCTTGAGTCAAGTCCATTTCCAAAAACATTTGAACATTGCATAGTCTGATTTTGGCGTAGTAGTCGGATTCATAATTGGTGAGGACATCCTTGTGTTTTGATACCTATTATCATTTATCAGCTATGGGTGTCAACCCGTGTCAAGTAATTTGAAGGAACACTGAAATGTAGATATTATTTTGTCTCCTTCGGTTTTAGCTTCCTGGACCTCCACAGTAAACAAATAAGATAATCTTTGTAACTTGCAGATGCACACTTTACTTCCGTCACAATCCGGAAAAACAATCAGCACAACTATTTCAAATAGTTTCCGTTTACCATTTTTGGTTTGTTTTCTCAAAACCAGCACATTCCTTTCTACCCTACAATCCGGACACAATCAGGCTGGACACAAGATAAAGTTGTAATAACACAGTCTATATGGGGTGGGTGGTGGGTTGGGTCGGTTATATTGTTTAGGTGGAGGGGCTGCCAATATCTACTCATTTCAACACATCAGCACTTAATATAGGGCTTCTTCTCTCGTATCATCTAACTTCTCATATTATATATAGCATACTCTTCCATTATTATTTAGCACTTTTCCAGGATAACTAGTACTCAATATACCAGGCTCCCAAGCAACGTTTGAGGTCTGGATCTCAACGTTGGGTTATACTAAAACTTGGTTTGAGAGCATGTTATATAAATTCACCACTTTGAACTTAACAACTTGATACCAAACTTCTCACGCTACACGTCTGCCACAGTTTTATTAATGAGATGACATAGATTTACTAATCGTTCCCCGTCGTATATAACTGAATACTTACAGCTGGAACCTGGTCTGAACCGCTCTCCTGAAAGCAATTGTTTGGGCAAATCGTCATGTGAAATGATGTCTTGAAAATGCTGTTACGTCACAGTAAAATTTTAATTCGATGACATCAACTTTGCAGTATGATAACATGATGTAGTCTAAAAATAGATTATTACTGATGCCAGCGTTTGGGGTCCTGATTTTAAGTTGTATGTGGTATGACAATCACATACACTCACACACACACACACCCTCATACAAACTTACACACATTAAAATATGCGATGTTATGTCATCATAATATTACTCCCATATTACTAGCAATAATGCATAATGATGATAAATTTTGTGATGACAGTGACATGAAATCTTGGTGAGGTATTAAAATCGCGTGAAACTAATTTCGGTTAATTACCCTCGCCTGTGAAATCTATGTAAAGTCTGTATTCTGGCGTATGAAATTTGTGTACAGTTCCTTGCGTCTTCTCACTCGAACAAGAGATTTTCTGACCGAAGATGTACCTCTGAAACTATTTTGAGTGATAATGGTATTTAAAGTTTTCGTTCTGTGTGAAAGATAAAACATTACGGAATTTCCATTAGCCACCCGTATCATGTTACTCAAATTTAGTTAATTTTCTGGGTTTTAAAAACAAATGAGGCGACGAAAAGATGAAAGTGCTATCCGGTATTACCTGATATAAGACGTCTGAGCACCTGCACATAGCACAATGTACTGTAGTCCCTGCACAATGTATTGTAGTCCCTGCACATTGCACAATGTATTGCAGTCCCTGAACAATGTATTGTAGTCCCTGCACAGTGCACATTGTATTGTAGTCCCTGCACATTGTACAATGTACTGTAGTCCCTGCACATTGTACAATGTATTGTAGTCCCTGCACAATGTATTGTAGTCCCTGCACATTGTACAATGTACTGTAGTCCCTGCACATTGCACAATGTACTGTAGTCCCTGCACAAATTTGCACAATGTACTGTAGTCCCTGCACATTGCACAATGTACTGTAGTCCCTGCACATTGCACAATGTACTGTAGCCCCTGCACAATGTACTGTAGTCCCTGCACATTGCACAATGTATTGCAGTCCCTGCACAATGTATTGTAGTCCCTGCACATTGTATTGTAGTCCCTGCACATTGTACAATGTACTGTAGTCCCTGCTCATTGCACAATGTACTGTGGTCCCTGCACATTGCACAATGTACTGTAGTCCCTTCACATTGCACAATGTACTGTAGTCCCTGCACATTTCACAATGCTACAATGTACTGTAGTCCCTGCAGTTGTTTGTTCCCGAATTACTGGATCAGACCGGAGTAACCTAAAGCATTCTTCATTCGGCTGTGGCTCTTTTTCTATTTATCTAATTGGTCTGAACATCTCAGCTTCCGGAATCCGGACATTTTATAATTCCTTCTCGTTTGACCTGCCACCCTCGGCCTCCCCCAATCATTTTCTCGTAGAGAATTTCCCCGGCATCACCTCCTTGGGTTGCCACACTCCTCTTGTGGACCACTAATGGTAACTGATGTTAACTAATGGTAACTAATTTACTAATTATATAATGGTAACTAATGCGTTACCTAAGCTATGGTGATTAACTAAGTTTTCTGTTTTCCTCAGGTCGACCTAACATCAGATATAGAAAACAAAGGACGAGCACTGCTGGAGGACCTGGAACAGAGATACGCCAACATCTTCAAAACGCACGAAACTGAAAAGGAGGAACTCCGCAAATCTAATGAGAAATTCAGGTTTGATTTCACTCGAATTAACTGGGTGCCGTGATGAACTTAGTCTTTTGGCCCCAAATTTCCCTGAAAATGTCCAATTTCAACGTTGGAGCCCCTCCCCACTCTATACCTGCTAGACGTGACACCCGGTGGCCTCATAATGTCTACACACCGCAAGTATTTTGGAAAAACTCTTGTAAAGATTCCCGAGCTTGACAATTACTGCTAAACGCTCAACTCTAACTTAGGGCATGCACAGAATAATCCAACTATCCAATATTTTGATTTTAAGGATTCACAATAAAACCCTAGATAGGTCAGACGTAGACCTCTATAATAAGGGCAGATTAGTATCGTGAATATGAAACCAAACAAAGTAAAACCATTTAACTCTTGTGGTATGCATCACATTTTAATCTGTTATTCTTTTTAAGTTGTGGACACAACAAGAAAATTGAGAATAATCTTGTGCGAGGGTAGGGACCCAGATGTCGTTTCTAACCCAAATAAACTTTAAGGAGGCTTCTCATCAGTAGCCGCACCTCCTTACTCGGTTTCTGAACTGGAATTCTATGGGCTTCCAGACGGCCAGACCGAGTATTACCATCCCATCCTTCTAGAGTTCATCACAAGTAGCACCCACCTTGAAGATCTTTGACACCCAGACACACCCCATTGGCGAACAAACTTTGGATATAATCTTACATGCTCCCGAAGGAATCCCTGGTTTATGGTCTTTCTCATCGTCACCAGCACTTTCACTAGGTCACCAGCTCTTTCACTGAAGTCATCAGCCCTTTCACTGAAGTCATCAGATGTGACTCTGATCAACGGTATAGTTGTGGACACAACAAGAAAATTGAGAATAATCTTGTGCGAGGGTAGGGACCCAGATGTCGTTTCTAACCCAAATAAACTTTAAGGAGGCTTCTCATCAGTAGCCGCACCTCCTTACTCGGTTTCTGAACTGGAATTCTATGGGCTTCCAGACGGCCAGACCGAGTATTACCATCCCATCCTTCTAGAGTTCATCACAAGTAGCACCCACCTTGAAGATCTTTGACACCCAGACACACCCCATTGGCGAACAAACTTTGGATATAATCTTACATGCTCCCGAAGGAATCCCTGGTTTATGGTCTTTCTCATCGTCACCAGCACTTTCACTAGGTCACCAGCTCTTTCACTGAAGTCATCAGCCCTTTCACTGAAGTCATCAGATGTGACTCTGATCAACGGTATAGTTGTGGACACAACAAGAAAATTGAGAATAATCTTGTGCGAGGGTAGGGACCCAGATGTCGTTTCTAACCCAAATAAACTTTAAGGAGGCTTCTCATCAGTAGCCGCACCTCCTTACTCGGTTTCTGAACTGGAATTCTATGGGCTTCCAGACGGCCAGACCGAGTATTACCATCCCATCCTTCTAGAGTTCATCACAAGTAGCACCCACCTTGAAGATCTTTGACACCCAGACACACCCCATTGGCGAACAAACTTTGGATATAATCTTACATGCTCCCGAAGGAATCCCTGGTTTATGGTCTTTCTCATCGTCACCAGCACTTTCACTAGGTCACCAGCTCTTTCACTGAAGTCATCAGCCCTTTCACTGAAGTCATCAGATGTGACTCTGATCAACGGTATAGTTGTGGACACAACAAGAAAATTGAGAATAATCTTGTGCGAGGGTAGGGACCCAGATGTCGTTTCTAACCCAAATAAACTTTAAGGAGGCTTCTCATCAGTAGCCGCACCTCCTTACTCGGTTTCTGAACTGGAATTCTATGGGCTTCCAGACGGCCAGACCGAGTATTACCATCCCATCCTTCTAGAGTTCATCACAAGTAGCACCCACCTTGAAGATCTTTGACACCCAGACACACCCCATTGGCGAACAAACTTTGGATATAATCTTACATGCTCCCGAAGGAATCCCTGGTTTATGGTCTTTCTCATCGTCACCAGCACTTTCACTAGGTCACCAGCTCTTTCACTGAAGTCATCAGCCCTTTCACTGAAGTCATCAGATGTGACTCTGATCAACGGTATAGTTGTGGACACAACAAGAAAATTGAGAATAATCTTGTGCGAGGGTAGGGACCCAGATGTCGTTTCTAACCCAAATAAACTTTAAGGAGGCTTCTCATCAGTAGCCGCACCTCCTTACTCGGTTTCTGAACTGGAATTCTATGGGCTTCCAGACGGCCAGACCGAGTATTACCATCCCATCCTTCTAGAGTTCATCACAAGTAGCACCCACCTTGAAGATCTTTGACACCCAGACACACCCCATTGGCGAACAAACTTTGGATATAATCTTACATGCTCCCGAAGGAATCCCTGGTTTATGGTCTTTCTCATCGTCACCAGCACTTTCACTAGGTCACCAGCTCTTTCACTGAAGTCATCAGCCCTTTCACTGAAGTCATCAGATGTGACTCTGATCAACGGTATAGTTGTGGACACAACAAGAAAATTGAGAATAATCTTGTGCGAGGGTAGGGACCCAGATGTCGTTTCTAACCCAAATAAACTTTAAGGAGGCTTCTCATCAGTAGCCGCACCTCCTTACTCGGTTTCTGAACTGGAATTCTATGGGCTTCCAGACGGCCAGACCGAGTATTACCATCCCATCCTTCTAGAGTTCATCACAAGTAGCACCCACCTTGAAGATCTTTGACACCCAGACACACCCCATTGGCGAACAAACTTTGGATATAATCTTACATGCTCCCGAAGGAATCCCTGGTTTATGGTCTTTCTCATCGTCACCAGCACTTTCACTAGGTCACCAGCTCTTTCACTGAAGTCATCAGCCCTTTCACTGAAGTCATCAGATGTGACTCTGATCAACGGTATAGTTGTGGACACAACAAGAAAATTGAGAATAATCTTGTGCGAGGGTAGGGACCCAGATGTCGTTTCTAACCCAAATAAACTTTAAGGAGGCTTCTCATCAGTAGCCGCACCTCCTTACTCGGTTTCTGAACTGGAATTCTATGGGCTTCCAGACGGCCAGACCGAGTATTACCATCCCATCCTTCTAGAGTTCATCACAAGTAGCACCCACCTTGAAGATCTTTGACACCCAGACACACCCCATTGGCGAACAAACTTTGGTGTAATCTTACATGCTCCCGAAGGAATCCCTGGTTTATGGTCTTTCTCATCGTCACCAGCACTTTCACTAGGTCACCAGCTCTTTCACTGAAGTCATCAGCCCTTTCACTGAAGTCATCAGATGTGACTCTGATCAACGGTATAGTTGTGGACACAACAAGAAAATTGAGAATAATCTTGTGCGAGGGTAGGGACCCAGATGTCGTTTCTAACCCAAATAAACTTTAAGGAGGCTTCTCATCAGTAGCCGCACCTCCTTACTCGGTTTCTGAACTGGAATTCTATGGGCTTCCAGACGGCCAGACCGAGTAGGTATCCGTCATCAATCTGGTGAAGTCATTTTAGGAGAAGTTCTGGGCTTGTGCCAAGTTTATTATTATATATAATAGATATGAAATACGATATGATTACTAATTACTTACCAAATTTATTTATTCATCATCTGCAACTACATGTTCATTTTCGTGAAATGTTTCATAAGATGGCTCATGAAATTTTCAAATCTATTTTCAGGTTGCAATTACAAGAGCTTGAGAGTTCAAACAAAACGCTGGAGGAGGAAAAGGAGAATGTAAAAACTAGACTTATGAGGACGAAATCATCGTCTGATTCAAAGTACGTCGTTTTAGTTCAGTAATCATGTTATTTACGTTTCTCTAGAATATGAAAATTTGGAATGTTAGATGGTTATGAAATAGACCTTCCTATATATAATATTTAGATTCCTCAAATGAAACAATATCCTGTATCCTCTCATCAGTCACCATTACTGTGTCGTTCAATCAGTACAAGTGGTAATGATTCTATCGTCTAGATATCACCTAAGTGACAATTAGTTCACAACAATCTCATCATCAAGAATATGTTATTGTTACACAGATCAGCGATGACTTTTGGCTTTTAATTGTGTTAGAGTTACGTAATATTGATGTTCAACAATTTGCACAGTTGCAGTGCTAGTATTATTATTTATTATATATTGTGTACCTAGTGTTATTATTTATTATTATATAATATAGAAAATTTAACAAATAACACGGTAACTGTCACACTCTTGTTTTAAATTTTGATTTCAACCTGAAATTACAATTTACAGGTCGCTTAAATTACTAAATAACCTCTAAATCGCCACTAAATTACCACTAAACCACCACTAAACCACCACTTAGCGATCACTTAACACCTTACCTAACTCTAGCTCTGTTCAGGTATCAGGGTGAGATATCTAGGTTGGAGCAGGAGATCGGGGAACTGAAGAGCAGGAACGAGGAATTACACAACAAACTCACCGAGAGAACAAACTCTTCTGATAGGTAATTAATTAAATAATTAGTCGATTAGTTAATTACAATTATAAAATATTTCCTATTTCTTATAATATCTAAGAACCGGTTCCCTGGTTTGTGTAGTACACTAGTACCCTGCATCAGTTTGATTGAGGCACACTCCTAGAAGGATATTGGTTAAGTTTGTCGAGGTCCTGCTATTTCGATTGTAGAAGAAAGATGATTTAAAGGAAACAAATAAATTGAGTCATAGTATTAGTATAATTAATAATTATGGTAGTTATGATAATTGGTGACGTAGTGCAACTGATAACATTCCAAACAACATTTGTTTTGCATTTTAAAAATATGGGGGTGATGCAACGTCAATTAATGTCAGTATTCCATAAAAACCCCAAACTGACATTGACATTAATTGACATTAATTGACATTAATTGACATTAATTGACATTTATTGACATTAATTGACATTAATTGACATTAATTGACATTAATTGACATTAATTGACATTAATTTGTCTTGAAATTTGAGATTATCATTATTCGATAAATATTCTAGATATTCACGTCTAGATGTAAGTTAGACCGGTTCAAAAAAACAAAATGTCCTTGAATAATTATGAGTATGTTCTTATCTGTTGATCCTTAGGTTCAAAGACCACAAAAAAAAATTTCAGCTTCCAACTCTTCATCTTCAGTCCCCACCGGCCACGCCCATATTTTATTGGTTTCTTATACAGGTAAAATATCTAGAATCGGCTTTTTTTTGTATGAAGGAGTAATGTTAGCTGTTTAAGATTCGTTATTCAAATATAAATGTCATGAAGGCATTTCGTTTAATGTGGGTTTTAAGTTCTGATGATGTTGAGAACCACGCCCTTGGATGGCCACGCCCATTTAAGAAAATTAAATTTCGGAAAACCGTATTATTTTAGTTTTATCGTTTAATGATCTGAATTTTTTTCACATTTCACATTTCCACATGTGATAGTTGTGAATAAATTGATGATATAAACGTTCTAAAGTGCTAAAAATATGGTAGAACTACATAATCTCTGGTCGAAAAATATCATGTCAATTAATGTCAGTATTCCAAAATTTTGAAAAACTGACATTGACATTAATTGACATTAATCGACATTAATTGACATTAATTGACATTAATTGACGTTGCATCACCCCCAAAAATATCCAATCATTACTTTCTCATAGACCACCGAGATTTAAAGACAATTAACAAAGGCCATGGAAATATTTTATGGGACTGATCATTGATCAAGTAATATAATTACACAAGTTCATAATCATTGCATGACGTATGTAATAATGAGCTAGAACCAAAGAAAGAGACTTTGTCATTTCACATTATAATGTACAACATACATCTTCTTAGATACCCCTTCATTACATCTAAATATTAGTGTATTGTAAACACTTTACTATACTGTAAATTTGTACAACGAAAATATGTCGAGCCCTAATGCCGTGCCATGTATTTCATCGTACAATACTTTTACAATGTGTACTTTATACAAAATAAGTATATTACTTATTATATTATCAGGTGTCTTAACGATGTTCTACACTTATATAAGTGTTTTTTATTGATTAATAAATTAGTTGATTAAAAGAATAGGTTTTGATCCTTTTTTGCCGAATAGGTTTTGATCCTTTTTTGCCGAATAGTTACTACTACTAGGCAATTGCAAATATCATCCTGCACTTATGGCCATTGGCCATATCTTTAGCCAACTTTATGAATAATGTATTTAAATACCTATCTTTTCGAGTAATTGGCAACCATTTATACCAAAAATTCTGAACGTAAATGTTTTACAACATTAGCTACTTTAAACGTTGTTTTACAGATATTATGGCGTTATTAAACGGTTGCACATATTATTTAAAAATCAATAGGAACTTCATATTCCGATATATCCTTGATTTAAATGATTAAAATATGTTTTCGCCAATAACTCAGAAACGTAGCATTTTAGGGCACTTGTTGCTTCGTAACTCATGTATGAATATTAAATGTTGGGTAAATGTTCCAGTTGTGATCATTTTGCACCTATCTGGAAGTTTTCATGTGTCCGGGCTATTAAACTTTAGCAAAATTTATCTTGAAAGACAGGTTTTTTGAGATTTTTCGAAAAACCAAAATATCTTGACAGATCACTTTGGAAACCTTGCAATGTGGCAATTTTGGTCATTTTCCATCCCCCCCCCCCCTATCAAAATATCACAGACCTTTCAAAACTGAGTTATAACTTTTAGGTTGGGGCGTAGTTGTTATACAATAGTTGGAGAATAGTTGCTATAGGTTGGAGAATAGTGCTATAGAAAGTTTTCCCATCAGTTTCAGTCTGACAACTTTTCGGGGTGGTTCCTGGAATACGAATGCATTTGTAAAGCATTGTAAAGCAGAATAAAGTCATAATTATGAAAATGTGAAGCTTCACTGAGTTGTGACAGTTGAAAAACAGTACAAGTTATTATATATTTTCATTGAGTTTATTTCGTAAAAATTCGATTACAATTTTTTTTGGCTTCCATTCAAAATTGGCACGCGTCAGAGAATGTAACATTGTAAAAATAACTTCAAAAGAAATGTAAAAATATCCACCCAGAGACTGAATGGTATAACATCATAAAATCGTCACTAGAATCGCAGTGTCCATGTTTCTATGTTCCAAATTATAGTTACAGAAAAACAGCAATTACATAACTATCATGTACAGCCTGAAGCGTCAAACTAATACACTATTATGTAGTTAATGTATGCGATATTTTGATGACAAAACCTTAGGTATTAAACATTTGTCAACAACTATTGACCGCTAAAAAAGTACATAGAATGTATAAAGTTTACAAATAGAGGAATTTGAATAGGTTCGACCGAGCACATACCTTATTCAATATTTACCCTATTCCGGCTTCGAGTTTGCACAAGATTTCTGAAGAAATGTAAGGCTTACTTCGACTGAAAAGCAGAATAACGATACTAACAATCCCACAGGATCATGGATAAGGAGATCAACACACTGAAGGAAAGGTTGAAGAATGAGCGACATGCCTTCGATGCTAAAACTAACAAAATGGCTGATCAGATTGACGAACTTAGAACAGAGGTACTGTGAAACTTGACTGTTACCATGGTTACCGTCTTACCATGGTTATTGTTACCACGGTTATTGATTACTATTACTTTAACTACTAGGATAACACTATATTGCCATACATGATAGTAATCTAAATGTATTAAATCAGTTTGAGGTTACTTTAGGATGTTTGCAGCAGGCTATACTGAAATTTAAAATAATTTATTTCTGTTAACTTTAAGATGTGTCGTTAATGTAATCATTAACATATCTTCTCATTTCCAGAATCGGTCACTACAATCGAAAATAGATACAATACAAAACAACATGAAACAGAAAGACTCAAACATAAATTCCCTAAAAGAACAGATGGACAGTTTGCAGAATGAAAACAGTATCCTAGGTAACCACCACGTTCTATAATTATACCGCCACAAGTTTTCGTCATTTTTATGATTTTAAGTTTTTTAATCGTGTTATTATTTATTGTTAAGCAAATAGAAGAAAATTTAAAATTAGATGATTTATTAAAAATTGAATTTAACTATCATATAACCAGGCAAAGATCGTATAAAGATGTTGATGTTGGAACAAAAAATAAACGTGAACGACCAGGAACTAATAGAAAAACAAACTCTGCTTACCAAGTATGTACTATGTAATATGTACTCTTTCTGTTTTAACATTCCTAAAAGTATTTCAAGAATTATCCTCGAATTGTATATTAATTAATGCTTGAATCTCACACTAATGTTTGAATGACGAGTTAATCAGCTAAACCGCAAGGTACGACACAGAGCTACAAAAAGTAAGGTCAGACTTATCAGCGAAAGAGCTGGAGCTGGAAACACAACGCTCTTTAGTCGGCAACAACGACAACAGAGTCGCTCAACTCAGAACTGAACTGGGAGATCTCAAGTGAGATATTTCTTATATTTCACTCATTTGTATCACCTCGCTTTAGAAAGAGGGCTGTTGCAAGGAATCTTATCAGATTGTCTGACTCGCTCTGAATTGACTACTCATTGCTCTCAATTAGTAGTATGTTATTTTCCACTTGAAGGAGACGGTGAATAATTAGTTAAATTATTAACTATTTTAGATTTAATAATAATAATATACTCATTAAATACTAAGTAGTGGATTAGTGCGCAGTGTAGGCGTACTAACTATCAAAGGGAGGAGGTTCCAGACCAGGAAATAAAAGTAGGTTTCTAAGATCACGTACAATGACCAGGAAATGTAAGATCACGCACACAGACACTTAACATGTAAGGCTTGTGACATTGCCGCTCAAGGACGCTGACTATATCTATGACAACTGTTAATTGTGCACATCATGTGTTTACATGAGGTTCATGTCTAAAAAATAGGGCTTTCTGAAATGAAATCTAGCAAAAATAAGAAATAGATTACGATGGGGTTGGCACGAGCTGGTGTAAAAGCTTAAAAGATCTGAATCTCGGACGCTTGATATGAATGAGGGCTTCTTGAAGTCGCAAGATTACAAGTAACAAGAACTTAGAGCACAATTCAACAAGACTAAGGGCCTTAAATTGACCATTTTTCCAGCTGCTTTTGTACCTGGAACAATTAAATTCCTTCTAAAAACGTCTAGCAAGGTATTGGGAATGTCGCCTAATATTTTATGGTATGATCATAGGAACTTGCTGGTTAGATGTAAAATATCGATAGTTATAACCAAATAAAGAATAATTTCGGTGGTAAATTTTCATGGGGCCAAAGGGTAGAAGCTGTAAATACAGTGGCGGATATTTTAACTAATTAACATTAATTAACTAACTTGTTAATGAACTGCTCCTCAGGGAGCAGAAAGAAGTGTTAGAAGGAGACTTAAAGGAAGCAAAGGAAGGTCTGAGAGACAGCTCCCAACGCCAAACAGCACTTCACAGAAAGTATGAAAACTTGTCACAGCGCACAATTCAACTCCAGGAGGATTACAATGAAACCAAGTTGCAGCTTCAAGAAACATTGGTTAGTTTTTAGTGTATTGTGACGTCATGCCACGTGATAAGACATTAAACTGCTGTTTTTTTACCAAAGGTTTTTCGAGACATGGTTAGAAATTCTCAAATCTAAAAAACCATCTCATGATCGTACGTCCTCATCTAATCGCCAGTGTTAAATCTGATAATACCTACGAATCTACCAGCTGTTAACTAGTGTTAACTGTTTACTAGTGCTAACTGTTAACTAGTGCTAACTGTTAACTAGTGCTAACTGTTAACTAGTGCTAACTGTTAACTAGTGCTAACTGTTAACTGTTAACTAATGCTAACTGTTAACTGTTAACTAGGGATCCCTGGAGACAGCACAACAACACGAAGAACAGCTCAGCAACACAGTGAGCGGTTATAAAATCCTAATAGATCAGCTGGAGAATGAGAAGACGAGGTATACGCACGAGGCTACCAACTTGCGCGAGAAACTTGCCCAATCAACGGGAAAGAGCAGCGAAGTTAACAACAAGTATAAGGAACAGGTAGGGTCACTTTCTTTCTCTTGGTTTTCCTGTTTTTCTCTGGTTCTGTTTTGCGAGTCAAGGTGTGGGTGTCTGTAGAGACCTGAACATATGTTTTGTTTATTGACGAGTTCAGTCTTAGTCTAACATAACGTTTGATTACAAATTTAAATTCTTTCATTGAATGTTCCTGATAATACACAAGTTTTATCATTGCTGCAGATTGATAACTTGAAGCGGGACGTAGCCCAGCTCAAAGATGAAAAACATCTTGAGCGAAACAAGAACGAGCAACTCAACGTTGAAATTGAGGAATTGGAGGCAAAATGTGGCCTTTACAAACACAATACAGAAAAGCTTAACAAAAACTTCGAAAATGAGGTATGTACAGAGTGTATTTTCAATTCAAATTCTCTCAATTTTGCAGAGGTACGTTGCTCGGCGATGAGCTATCCAGAAATCCCCGCGGGCTTAGGAGTTGGACTTTCCGTTCCGTATGTTCCGCGGAACGATATTTGACGAAAGTCGATTATCTCGAGATCTGAATGATAGAATTTCTTTAAACTTTCCAGATAGTTACATGGCTATAAGACGGATAATCTGAGCAAGTTTGAGCGAATTTCTATGTGCCAAACTTAAGATATGACTTCAAACACAAGAAAATATCTCAAATTGGCGCGTTCTAGCGGAACGCAGGCATATATTTCGAGATCTGAATGATAGAATTTCTTTAAACTTTCCAGATAGTTACATGGCTATAAGACGGATAATCTGAGCGAGTTTGGGCGAATTTCTATGTGCCAAACTTAAAATATGACTTCAAACACAAGAAAATATCTCAAATTGGCGCGTTCTAGCGGAACGCAGGCATTTATTTCGAGATCTGAATGATAGAATTATTTTAAACTTTCCAAATAGTTCCATAGCTATAAGACGGATAATCTGAGCGAGTTTGGGCGAATTTCTATGTGCCAAACTTGAGATATCACTTCAAACACAAGAAAATATCTCAAATTCGCCCGTTCTAGCGGAACGCAGGCATATATTTCGAGATCTGAATGATGGAATTTGTTTAAACTTTCCAGATAGTTTCATAGCTATAAGACGGATACTCTGAGCGAGTTTGGGTGAATTTCTATGTGCCAAACCTGAGATATGACTTCAAACACATGAAATTATCTCAAATTGGCGGTTTCCGAACAATATTTGACGAAAGTCGATTATCTCAAGTTCTGAATGATAGAATTTCTTTAAACTTTCCAGATAGTTACATGGCTATAAGACGGATAATCTGAGCGAGTTTGGGCGAATTTCTATGTGCCAAACTTAAGATATGACTTCAAACACAAGAAAATATCTCAAATTGGCGCGTTCTAGCGGAACGCAGGCATTTATTTCGAGATCTGAATGATAGAATTTCTTTAAACTTTCCAGATAGTTACATGGCTATAAGACGGATAATCTGAGCGAGTTTGAGCGAATTTCTATGTGCCAAACTTAAGATATGACTTCAAACACAAGAAAATATCTCAAATTGGAGCCTTCTAGCGGAACGCAGGCATTTATTTCGAGATCTGAATGATAAAATTTCTTTAAACTTTCCAGATAGTTACATGGCTATAAGACGGATAATCTGAGCGAGTTTGGGCGAATTTCTATGTGCCAAACTTAGGATTATATGACTTCAAACACAAGAAATTATCTCAAATTGTTGCGTTCTAGCGGAACGCAGGCATTTATTTCGAGATCTGAATGATAGAATTTCTTTAAACTTTCCAAATAGTTCCATAGCTATAAAACGGATAATCTGAGCGAGGTTGGGCGAATTTCTATGTGCCAAAGTTGAGATATGACTTCAAACACAAGAAAATATCTCAAATTCGCCCGTTCTAGCGGAACGCAGGCATATATTTCGAGATCTGAATGATGGAATTTGTTTAAACTTTCCAGATAGTTTCATAGCTATAAGACGGATAATCTGAGCGAGTTTGGGCGAATTTATATGTGCCAAACCTGAGATATGACTTCAAACACAAGAAAATATCTCAAATTGGAGCCTTCTAGCGGAACGCAGGCATTTATTTCGAGATCTGAATGATAGAATTTCTTTAAACTTTCCAGATAGTTACATGGCTATAAGACGGATAATCTCCTCCTCTTCCCCCTCTTCCCCTCCTCATCCTCCTCTTCAGTCCTCCTTCTCCTTTTCCTCCTCAGTCCTCCTCCTCAATCCTCAAATTCATCTTCCTCCTCATGAATCCTCCTCCTCCTGAGTCCCCCTGAGTCCTCCTCCCCCACCTCCTCCTCCTCCTCCTCCTCTCCCTCGTCCCCCTCATCCCTTCCTCCTCCTCCTCCTCAGTCCTCCTCCTCGTCAGTCCTCCTCCTTCTCATCAGTCCTCACTCCTCCTCGTCCACCTCCTTCTCCTCCTTCTCTTCCTCCTCCTCATCCTCCTCAGTCCTCCTCCTCCTCCTCAGTCCTTCTCCTCCTCCTGGCTCCTCATCAGTCGTCTTCCCCTCCTCCTCCCCCTCCTCCCCCTCATCCCCTCCTCCTCCTCCTCCTCAGTCCTCCTCCTCCTCCTCAGTCCTTCTTTTCCTCCTCAGTCCTCCTCATCCTCATCTTCCTCCTCCTCCTGAGTCCTCCTCCTCCTCCTGAGTCCTCCTCCTGTGTCCTCATCCTCCTCCTGAGTTTTTTTCCTCCTGAGTCCTCCTCCTCCTGAGTCCTCCTCCTCCTGAGTCCTCCTCCTCCTGAGTCCTCTTCCTCCTCCACTTCCTCCTCCTCCTCTTCCTCAGTCCTCCTCAGTCCTCATCCTCCTCCTCCTCCTCCTCCTGAGTCCTCCTCCTCCTGAGTCCACACTCCACATCCTCCTCAGTCCTCTTCCTCCTCCACCTCTTTCTTCTCCTCCTCCTCCTTCTCCTCAGTCCTGCTCCTCCTAAGTCCACCTCCTCCTGAGTCCTCTTCCCCCTACACCTCCTCCTGCATATATGCCTGCGTTCCGCTAGAACGGGCCAATTTGAGATATTTTCTTGTTTTTGAAGTCATATCTCAAGTTTGGCACATAGAAATTCGCCCAAACTCGCTCAGATTATCCGTCTTATAGCCATATAACTATCTGAAAAGTTTAAAGAAATTCTATCATTCAGATCTCGAGATAATCGACTTTCGTCAAATATCGTTCCGAAACCGCCAATTGGAGATGTTTTCATGTGTTTGAAGTCATATCTCAAGTTTGGCACATAGAAATTCGCCCAAACTCGCTCAGATTATCCGTCTTATAGCTATGTAACTATCTGGAAAGTTTAAAGAAATTTTATTATTCAGATCTCGAAATATATGCCTGCGTTCCGCTAGAAATGAGCCAATTTGAGATAATTTCATGTGTTTGAAGTCATATCTCAGGTTTGGTGCATAGAAATTCGCCCAAACTCGCTCAGATTATCTGTCTTATAGCTATGAAACTATCTGGAAAGTTTAAAGAAATTCTATCATTCAGATCTCGAAATATATGCCTGCGTTCCGCTAGAAGGCACCAATTTGAGATATTTTCTTGTGTTTGAAGTCATATCTCAAATTTGGCACATAAAAATTCACCCAAACTCGCTCAGATTATCTGTCTTATAGACATGTAACTATCTGGAAAGTTTAAAGAAATTCTATCATTCAGATCTCGAAATATATGCCTGTGTTCCGCTAGAAACCGCCAATGTGAAGATATTTTCTTGTGTTTGAAGTCATATCTCCATTTTGGCATATAGAAATTCTCCCAAACTGTCACACATTATCCGTCATATAGCCATGTAACTATCTGGAAAGTTTTAAGAAAATCTATCAGTCAGATCTTGAGAAAATCATAATTATATTCTAAGTTATTCACTAAAACACTCGATTTTCGATCTTTTTATTTGGAACAGATTTGTCGAAAGTCCTTCTGGGGCTTAGGATCAGAGTGGACGTTAGTGGAAGGCGCGAAAACATTTACTTATAGAAAGTTTCATTCAGTTCGCGCAAAATAACACTCTCGCGCGCGCGCGGCGGCGCATTGGATATTAAATGTGCCTCCTATATCAAGTTAGATTATACCGGCGCCAAAAGTTCCGGGATCATATCGCATCATGTGTGTTTGCGGACCCTTGTTCACGACTAACTCCGCTTATCCAATTACATATTCTATAAATAACTGATTGCATTATCCAGGTTGCCAAGTCCAAGAAAATGGAGATGGAGATTTCCAGATTGAACGATGAGAATACCAGACAGTCGACTCTATCATTCCAGCTCCGTCAAGGTGTGTGAGCTATATTTGACTTAATGAGTGGAAGAAAACAACTAGAACAGTGCACCTTGGAATAATCGTTAATCCTGATGGTTATAAATTATAATACTGAAAATTTTCTTTAAATTTAATGTTTCCCATATTTAGATCTGAATGAGGAGACAGAGAAATACAACAACATGGCCTCCAGATACAACAGTCAGACTAAGAATCTGGAGGAGCTACAAGCACAAATCCTTCTCGATCAGATGAAGTTCAAGCAGAAAGAGAATGAATATCTGAAGTTGATCGATCATTTGAACGGACAATTACAGAGACAACCAGTCAAGAAAACAAAAGGAAAACCTGGAAGTAAAGGAAATATTCGAAGTAAGTCATCCTACAATAATAATTCCAGCTCGAATAATAAAATTTCATGTATACATTATTACTCTAGTAGCAGGGAATAGTTGAGTGTGCACTTCGATGTGTACTATTTCTGACAACACAGGGTTGTTTGTTAGGTCATTCTTAACCAAAATCGTGTGGGTGCACAATTTGTTTCGCTAGAGATAACCCTACAGGGCAAATTTTCTAAATTACCCTCAGTCGCGTATACGAGATTTTCGTATTTCGGCTCCTGAAGGTCATAGAGACTTCAATTTTAGCTTAAAATTACCGCAATAGCCATAATTATATACAACTTATGAAGCAACATAAGGTCTTCAGTGCTTTGTTTTATAGATATTGACAAAAAACTGTATTTTGGCTCAGCGAACCAAAAATGGGACTGAATTTTGGTAACTGGAACTAGGAAGATCGTAGAGACTTGAATTTTAGCTTAAAATGAGCGCAAACATCACATTTATATACAACTTATAGAGCAATATAAGCCCTTTAATGCTTATTTGTTAAGATATAGACAAAAATCGGTCATTTTGACTACACGCGTGAGGAAAAATACCAAATTGGGCAACAACTTTGGTCTTTTTTTGACCAGTTTTGTGCTCAAGTTATTAAAATGTGCTTTGATGTTGTAGATCGGGTGTTTTCTTCCAATATGGGTTTCGGTATAAATCTGGAAGCACCCGGTTCATGGGTGATAGGGGTTAAAAACCCTAAAATGTCAGGCGATGGGCGAGACAATTGTCTGAATTTGGTTATAAAAACACTTGCACTCTTTGCTAGGGTTTGCTTTTTTCTGCTACATCGATCCGATTTCTAACTACTAATCATCCCCCTCTACATCATTCTCTTTTAGATACATGATTTCTATAAGTTCTTGAGGGTACATCCGGCATGATGTAAAGTCTATATCAAAGCATTTTAATGTGGTCTTAACAAGTTGCAAGATATTCAAGTTCACTTGAATAAAACAGAGATTGTAGGATATTCTTCTTTTACATATTGAGTAATTGTGGTCTTTTTGAGGGGAGGCTATAAAATGGCCAAATATAACTTTAACGTAAACGACCCAATAATAATATTAAACGTAGAATGAAACTACTTCAAACTTATACAGATTCATGGTATCCTGTTTCAAGACGCTTGCTTCTGATTTTTAGCAACAATATCGACTGACCCCACGACGTTGTAATATAATTGTGGGTAGGCTATCACTTGATCTATAAGTTTTGAACGGTAGTTTTTAAAAATAATTACATTCTACAAACATTATACGCTCCTACTATGCAATTACTAGCCTCTGGACTAACTCCCAATCATCTGTCCATATAATGGTGTTTCTGGACAGATAGATGGTGTATGATGCCCTCATGCTAAATTGGTTTGGAGGCTGCAGTTGTAAATGCCTCGAAAGTCGAACTCGAACTCGAACTGCTAGTTGCTACTGTCTGGAGCTTGCAATCTCTTCTGTCAGCTGCTCATGCTGATATCTCTTAATATTCTTTTCTCTTCATCAGCAAAGTTCTCTTTATTTCAGATGCACCTTCTTTGCTTTATCTGAATAGATTACTACATCTGGTCTCAGTGGTATTAAACTAATGTAATGTCTAACAATAACGTTTATAAGTGCTAAAATTTCGAACTAGCGGACCATATTCGGAGGAGAAATTTGGGGCAGTTTTTTGCTTGGAAATACTGATTTAATCGAATTTTAACCACAAAATGACTCCCAATAATATTCTTATGGAGAGTGTGGATAAATATTAAATATTTAAAATAATACAGGTTTGACTATAAAGTTGCGTCAATAATCATGTAAAGAATAATAGATAACCTACAATCTTCGTTTGGTAAACCAATTTGGTATCTTTCCTCACATGTGTAACCAAAATTACTCAATAATCAATATGTAAAAGAAGAATATCCTACAATCTCTGTTTTATTAGCGAACTTGAATATCTTGCAACTTGTTAAGACCACATTAAAATGCTTTGATATAGACTTTACATCATGCCGGATGTACCCTCAAGAACTTATAGAAATCATGTATCTAAAAGAGAATGATGTAGAGGGGGATGATTAGTAGTTAGAAATCGGATCGATGTAGCAGAAAAAAGCAAACCCTAGCAAAGAGTGCAAGTGTTTTTATAACCAAATTCAGACAATTGTCTCGCCCATCGCCTGACATTTTAGGGTTTTTAACCCCTATCACCCATGAACCGGGTGCTTCCGGATTTATACCGAAACCCATATTGGAAGAAAACACCCGATCTACAACATCAAAGCACATTTTAATAACTTGAGCACAAAACTGGTCAAAAAAAGACCAAAGTTGTTGCCCAATTTGGTATTTTTCCTCACGCGTGTAGTCAAAATGACCGATTTTTGTCTATATCTTAACAAATAAGCATTAAAGGGCTTATATTGCTCTATAAGTTGTATATAAATGTGATGTTTGCGCTCATTTTAAGCTAAAATTCAAGTCTCTACGATCTTCCTAGTTCCAGTTACCAAAATTCAGTCCCATTTTTGGTTCGCTGAGCCAAAAAACAGTTTTTTGTCAATATCTATAAAACAAAGCACTGGAGACCTTATGTTGCTTCATAAGTTGTATATAAATATGGCTATTGCGGTAATTTTAAGCTAAAATTGAAGTCTCTATGACTTTCAGGAGCCGAAATACGAAAATCTCGTATGCGCGACTGAGGGTAATTTAGAAAATTTGCCCTGTAGGGTTGTCTCTAGCGAAACAAATTGTGCACCCACACGATTTTGGTTAAGAATGACCTAACAAACAACACTGTGTTGTCAGAAATAGTACACATCGAAGTGCACACTCAACTATTCCCTGCTACTAGAGTATATCAGAGCTTGCCACCAACGAAACTTTCTAATAATGACTCGATTACTCTCAGGTCTATCGAGTAACATAACCGAGTGGAAACACAGTAAAGAAGCAAAGATTGCCGCTCAGAGAAGAAACGAGCTTGAACATTTGCTCAAACTTGAAAGGGAGAAGAATAGGTATTTTCTTTCAGGCACCTTGAAAAATAAATGTTCGTTAAATATAAACTTATTTTTATCTTCCGCGTTAGAAAGTTATTCTTTGCAATCTGGTAACATTTCAATTCACTCCAGAGAACTGAAAGAAAAGCTAGCATCGTTCAAAGACCAAACTCCTCCACAACTCAGAAAAAGCAACGACTCACTTTCAATTACAAGCGGTTTTGGCAGTAGAACTAACCTTAACACTGCGAAAACGCATAGTCAGTCAATACCAGGTCAGTCATTTCCGAATTATGCTGGAAAAATCACATCATTTATGAGTTATCTTCCTGATCGTAAGCATACACGGAAAGGGTTTTAACTTTTAAAGAAGTACCACACGACACGTGATATTTCACGTGACATGATACTCCTGATACGTGATACTAATATTTATTTCTTGTAGGAATGGCCTCAACAGAAGAGGTCCCTTCAAGGCTTGCTAAGATGGGTATGACTCACAGTATTCCACATCGATTTGAGGAGAAGACCACTCTTAAATCTGAGACCTGTACTGTATGCAGAGACGTTATAGGTATGACTTTTGCTTAATCTTTGTTCACAGTATCAAGAAGGTTAAAACCAGAAAATTAAGTCAATATGACCACAATTTCACCTCTGTTGCTAGGGAGATGTGAAATTTGGATGCCTGTACCTTGTCCAGAATCTCAACAGAAATATTGCAGGGTTTGGAAAGAAGCAGTCAAAGTGTAAAGAATGCCGAGTGGTCTCACATCTGAAGTGCCAAGGAAGTGTGCCCCAGACCTGTGGCCTGCCAGCTGAGCTGATGGAGCATTTCACTAAAGCCCTCAACACTCCGCTTTCCCCTGAACCTGCCCGTAAGTACCAAGCACGTGACTATTAGTAGTATCACGTGTCACTGCTAGTTTGTTTCTGAGATTTGTAAACAACACGTGCTGATGATTTTTTGGCATTATTTAACGATCCAACATTTTCAACTGTTCGCGTTTCTTCCAATCGGTGATAATATAAAATATGGTTCATAAATATTATATATTTGTATGATACACCGTTCTTATTGTATTGCTGCTTGTGGTGGCAGACCAGCGTAGCCTCAACTGTGATCTTGCTTAATTGATATTGTCATTATTGTCCGACAATGAAAATATGTTTCGATGAGATTGGTTTCGAAGGGTAACACACCGTATCTAATAATGACGCTGATTATAAGAAAATATTGTCAAATGAATAAAGTCGATCAGTACTATAATAAAGTCTATCAGTGTAGCTGACTGTAATCTCCCTCCCCCAGAGAAAACGCCAGTGAGAGTTGGAACACTACAAGAAGGCAAACTGAAAGTAATGAAAGCAGCTCGGGGTCAGTGGGCACCTTATCACGTGATGTTATCTAAAACTGATATCAAGTTCTGCCATCCTGAGTCACTGAAACTGGATCCCACCCTTAACATCAGCTTAGAAAGTGAGTATTATGTTTTTGTTTGTTTTTTTCCAAAGAGATTTTAGATTTCCAGAACAGGATGCTGTTAAATTCTTATCTTAAGAAAACTATGGCATGACTTTTTCATTAAACATGGTTTATTTGAAGTTAGAATATTTAATTGAGAGGCCTATCTGTGCACTGAAATCCACAAAACACACATTGATGTAGTTGTAGAGTGCTAATAGCTTAATTTATAATTATAATACTAATTACTTAATTTCCAGGTATGGAGATGAGCTTGTCAACTGTAACACTGACGGATCTACCTTATGTTGCTGAGAGAGACATGCCCTTTGTAATCTCACTCTCCTTCAAAAATACCCCTAAACACGCCTGGCCGCCCAGGTGAATTTCACTCGGTTAAATTCGAATTTTGGAAACAACTAAATTCTTAAATTTGGATGAAAACCAGAACAAATTCTTCTGTTTATAAGCAATAAATTCCTTCACTATCCATCAAATAAATTAAAGATCACCTCTCAACTATGTGATAGCTCTTTAAGTATTGTACATAACCCTGACTCAATCCTGCTCAGGGATCTGTTCCTGCTGTGTCCTTCATTCAGTGAGAAGCAGCAGTGGATCGGAACTTTGGAGTCCATCACCTCAAAGTGTGCTATGACCTCCGGATCTGAATACTTCAGTGCTAAAAACATTGTCACCCTGTCTGGCCCGGATAACAAAGAGGTGGGCTTTTTGTTTCCTTTTGGATAAAACTTTTCACTTTCAGACAAAGTTGAAGTCTGCAACCACTAGATATTTCCTTTCAATTTTAAAGTCACATCAATTGTTAATGTGTGTATTTCTTTCGCTGTGGTGTACGAACATATTGATCATGTGACCTCTCAGATAAACTGCTCGTGGCTGTTTGACGATAACACGGTCCTGGTGGGAACTGAGCAGGGGTTGTTCGCTCTGCTCATGCACAAGTTATCTAGTGGTCTGATCAGAGTTCCTGAGCTTAAAGACGTCCACTCTATTCACGGCAGTAGGGATTGTGGTAAGCGGAGATTGTATTTTGCTTTGTCATTTTTACATTTTACTTTGTCAATTTATATTTTGCTCTGTCATTTTATATTTTACTTTGTCAATTTTATATTTTGCTTTAAATATTTACAACTCCTTTTACATTTCGGCTATACTTACCTATAATCTTTATTGTAACCTAGCTGGTATATTACAGGTACGATAGCAATGATAGTGGGTATAGATAACGTGCTCAATATTGTTACGTTCAGTGAAATGGAGCAGTGTTATCTCAGATGTATGAAAAACAGGAACACTAAACCTTTACAGAGTCAGGTAATTCTCAATCCAGATACGTTTATAATTTCCTAGGCAACTGTTACCACAGCGACTGCTTACTTGGCTGATAAAGCAATGCTTACTACGATTATGTTATCTATCACCAACCGAATATCTACACCACCATGGTACATCCTTCTTTGAAGAAAATATGATCACATGATATTTCAAAGCTCCGTCACGTAACAATTGTAGAACCTGTGGTCTACAGTTTCTCTTATTTGTTACTTTGCCAAACTTTCTTCAACACTGAAACCGTCTCCAGGCAATCAAGAAGTTCTCAGACTGTCACCTGGCTAAAGTTGGTAAGATAAGCTCTGATAGGTTTGTAGCAGTTGCTCAGGAGAACACTATTCAACTGCTGCTGATAGGAGAGCAAGGTTCTCTTACCATTCACAGCTTTATAGATACTGAGGACACCTGCAACAGTTTAACTTTCAGTGGAGGTGAGGAGACTTGTTGTTTTACTGATATTCTGATTAGCTGATATTCTGTTAATATTTTGTTGACATTTAGCCGATTTAGATCATCGTTTTAATATTTATCTCAATAAAAATAGGGAAATATTACAACTACAAGATCTCCGCTACATACGCTAATACGATAACAATCGAAAATACTTCAATGTAATTAGCACTCCATTTTGAAACACAATCTAAAAAGTAAGCTCTCAGGTCTACTCCTGACATCGACAAAGAAGTTCTACCTAGTGGACCCAATAACAAACACACTGGACCAGTTCCTGGACCCTAACGACACAACTCTAGCATTCTACACTTACGGTGCAGTGCAGCGCGGAGTGCTACCTGTAGGACTAGTATATCTGCAGGATACAGAGGAGATACTGCTGTGTTATCCTACAATGGGGGTATTCGTAGATAAGAAGGTAAGGTTAACTGCATGCTCTGAAGAGATGGATTTTATTGGTTTTTACTTAAACTGATAAGTTGAATTGTAATGAAAATCCTTGGCGTGTTAAGATATTTCGAAACCATGTGCTTGCAGAATTTCCGATAGTGGACAGTTTAGATCTATTATTTAGATCTATTTGCAAGTTTTATATTTCAGGGAAACAGATCCCGACCTCATGACATACAATGGGGTAGAACCCCTATCACCTTCGAGTACAGTGCCCCCTTCCTCTTCATCTCCCACGTCAACTGTTTACAGGTATATACACGGCTTTTTCAAATTCACTATTGTTAATTCACTCATAATTCAGTAAAGTAACTGAGCACTCTGCAATCTCCAGAGTTCAGACAACCCTTTTCTCCGTTTATTTAACACCCTCTCTATTCCCAGATGATAGAGCTAAGCAGTGAGATGTGCACGGACACATATATCCAGCCCCCGCGCTATGCCGAGATGATCGCAAACACACGGTGTATCGGCGTCACCCCCAAAGGAACCCTCGCCACCAACTCCACCTCGCACGCCTCCAATATTATGCTGCTGACAGGGAAGGTGTGTCCCCGACCAACCAGCTTCGTGGAGTCTGTCAGCTCCACTCACTCCTCGGAGAGGGGGTCCCGGTACAGCCCGGGGGGAGAGGAGAGGTTTAGTGACGAGAGGTACGGAGCTGACCAATACCGGGCAGAGCAGTACGGGCCTCCCGGGTCTGATACCCAGTACAGAACCCAAGCTGACAGGTTTATCTCGGAGGACGAGCTGTACGCCGCGCAGGAAAATCAGGCGCAGGGTGCTTTTGACCAGCGAACATCGTCCGTGTCGGAATACTTCGGCCGTCCGATCAACTTGAACGCTTCAATGCAATCTAGCCTAATGGATGACATTGGTGACGAATGGGAGACCAGGTCTGAAGTTGCAAGATTCTGAGTCAGAAGAACATGAACAGTAGGATACGAGTTGATAAAAGAGCAGGTGCTCCAGTTTGTAGCGTAGAGCGAATTTGACTCTGAATTGCTAGACTCTGTAGGGGACCAAGATTCTGAAACGGCTTGATTCTGAGGGAACAGAGTAAAATTTTGAATTGGCTAAACTTCCGCCTCGTTATTAATTTACATTATTGATGCCCTCCTTGTCTCAGAGTTGTTAGCGTCGATCAACAAGGTGGTCGGAATGTCCAGTCTGTAAAGATTGGAAATATTTGTTTTAAATAAACCCCACTCCTGGGGGCCTTCATGTCCGAAGGAAATATGTTATTTGTAATGTTTTGAGTGACCAACGAGTATTAAATTTTTAATCCCATGATGCCGATTTTTAATTTTATAGAGTCAACGAGTTTTGATTTTGATTTTTAAAGAAGTTAAACTTCGGTAAAATAAGTGATGTTTTAAAATTTACGCTTTAGTTAGTTTCTACTGGAAGTTTTAATGTGGACTGAACTTGCACACATAATTCGCATTGTTAAAGTGTATTATAATACCAATTTTACTAATTGAACAGACTTGCTTCAACAGAAGTACAGATCGACAACGAGTTTATGTCAATTATCCTTACATTAATTAGGATAATACCATTTCAATTATCGTAATTATATGTTGAAGTAGACAAATACACATAATATATATGAAGTTTTGAAAGCAAATCACAAAAGATTTAAACCTCTCAGACAATAGAATTCATGAAAAGTTATTAAATCAGAATTAACGTGAATAATAGAAAAGCTAATGAATGCGTATTGTTACTATTCAATGCTCGGTTATCTTGTCGCTACTAGATTTTACCAGGATTTAGCAGCCATGACAACACGAAGTGGTAAGCAGGAGTGAATTGTGATAGTGCATGTTTTTAATTAATTTTTATTGAAAGTAAATTTGATTATTACTTTAAGACTGTTCATTATACGTTTTATTCTGATTTTGTTAAGAATGTTGTATCATTTGGTTCATGGTTGCACTATTTGAAGAACAACGCAGCTAGCCTGACGTGTCAGTGCTATAAGAACAGGAACAATGATAAAGGAACGATGCGTGAAGTTTTCAGAATTAAAGTTTTTGGGCTCTAATTATATGTTATAACATGATGATACTGAACGATGATGATTAATCACTTTATACTTGACGGATGTAACTCGTCGAAATTTCTTCGGAGTAGCGCGCGCCGCTTTCTTCTCGATGGCAAGTGCTACGAAGTAGCGCGCGCCGGGTAGGGCCAGATCATTAACAATGGTCAAATATTTGTATCACGTTGCGACCCCCACGGTCGTCCTGACGTTACCTGAGGACCCCAGGCTATTATGTTCATTAGCATATAGAATAAAGATTTGGCGGAATGACAGGCTGAGCGCGGCCCAGTAAGTCCTGACGATACAGGGGGAGCCGCGCACTCGTGCGCGGCGGGTCATACAACGTATGACAATCAAATATTGCTTTATAAACGGTTAACGGGTGATACTCGTAAAATTGAAAATATTTGTCCAACTCGACGCGCGCGTCCTGATAGGTTAAACTTAAAACCAAGGAATCATGCAGCCGCTTTTCTTTTGTGGATGACCGCTCAATTTCCCGATCCGTGATGGCGTATTTTATTATATATTCCATACAACCTGGGGACCCCACTACCCCAGCTTCTTAACTATTTATAAACATGCAGATATTTATATGGCGAAGTGACACAGCACTGACAGGCCGAGCGCCGCGCCCAAAATGATTAAGTATTGTTGATTCCATGATATGCATATTGAATTTGAAAATCGCGATCGTATATATTTCTATGTAACCATATATGTTTAATTAATTGTTTATCCAATCTGACACAAATCTGTGCAAAATAGCAATATTAACTAGTCGAAATAATTAAAATAAGCTATTACATATTAATTTTGATTCACGATGTCAATCCTTCGCAGCTCGGTGAGGCACAGTGGTGCATCTCGCCGATCTACCGAAGAGGTTGCGAGAAGCATTATTTGATGCGCGCGCGACCCAGTAGTGCATCGCGCTACAAATATTAATTAAATTTAGAGCCTAAGTGCTAGGGCGGCTATATTACCAATTATACTTGCCATACGTTGCATGACCCGCCGGCCGCCGCTTGTAGGTTTACAACCTACCAGGACGCGCGCCGAGTTGGACTCGTCGACGGTCCAATATATATCATATATGGAACAGATATTTTACGAGTATCACCCGTTAAGCCGCCGCGCACTAGTGCGCGGCTCCCCTGTATAGTCGATAGTAGAAACGCTACAGGTGAAATTTTGTATCACGTTGCGACCCCCACGGTCGTTTCACTATGGTGATGATACAGGCTTATACAGGCTGATACAACGGCTTAGTGGCTCAGTTGGTTAATCCGGGCCTGGTATTGCTTGAGGTACCAGGTTCGATTCCCGACTCTGCCACTAGCCGTGGGGTGAGCGTCGTCGACGCTCAGCTAAGGATCCTGAGTGGTCTATGCAGCCCCCCGGTCCACTCAGCCAAATACTCGAGAAATCGGGTGTGAGGGTTAAATGAGGAGCTGCCCATTGCAGCAAAGTCTCGGGCGAAGAAAGTATGGTACACACTACCTTAACCGTCACTGGCCTAATGTATAATTGAATCCTTCGGCTTCCTGTAATTGGCTGGTTACACACTTGTGTAACAATGTGGCTGTTGGAATGTCCGAAGTAAAATAAGAGTTGAGATAAAAAAAAGGGGGAGCCGCGCACGATGTGCGCGGCGGGTCATACAACGTATGACAAGTGAAATTGACATACGTTGCATGCCACTTTCCGCCGACAATGGGTGATGGGGGTCACGACGTGATACAATATTATACGTGCATGGTGTGTGGTGTTGATACATGTTACGTATCACAAATATCAGAGATATTATCCGCCTTCTGCGGCGCGCGCGAAAAGTGGCATGCAACGTACGTATGTCAAAGTGTGGCGAAATTAACAATTTACTTGGGCAGTTCAGCGCCGCGCGACAACAATTATTTAATTTAGAATATCTCGCAAAATAACTTTGCGCAGGCTAGTCAGGAACGTGGGCACGTACGCCGACGACATCAGACGCGACGGTCGTTACCATTCGCAATTCGAGAACACACCGATGTTCACAAGTTGTGCAGTCAGCACGTGCAACTTCAGTTATTATTATCAAATTCGTTACTACGTTATTAACGGGTGATACTCGTAAAATATTTGTTCCATCAACTAACAAAGGGAGGCCAATTAACAGCCCTGTGTTGGCCACAGGAAGACAGGCGGTTTTCGCCAGCATAAAACCTCCGAGACCAAGGTCAGCCGACCCCAGGAGGCAAAGAACATCACCAGAGCTGCCCAAAAGTGCCCAAGAGCCAGGTACTAATACATATAAGCTATATTCTCATTTTTATTATCATCAGTGTGAAATTGTTGAATTCTGAAATTCATCGTACTTTCAAATTGTAGCAGCTTTTGGTAATCTAGATCTGATTTTGTACTCATTGAACTATTACAACCTATAGTGGAACTTAAAGAAGCATATCTGGCAAACGAATGGACAAAGATCCATCAACTAGAGAATAGAGGAGTATCTTGGGGTCAGGCCAGACTCCACTATGAGTATGTCTGACGTCACGACTTCAACGATGTCAGCAACATCACGGTGAATAATACTATAATAATATTTTGCGAAGGTCTATAGATTAGAGGACCACGTTTTATTGCCTAACATTTTAAATATCTATAATACATTGGTTTAATCTACAACAATCTATTAGTTTGTTTGAATTTAATCTTGCTGCAGTATTGAACGGTTCATTTTAATGATACGTTAGTAAGCATTTGAACGGTTTATTTTAATGATACGTTAGTAAGCATTTGCATTGCACCAATAAAATTATTATTAATTAAATCATTGCAGGCACACCCTACTACCAGGTGCCGTGGATGAGGTAGGAAGGAAAGAAGTCATCAATACCAGGGATGTTGAATCCCATAGAAACATAGAGAAGGTAAAGAGGCGCAAAAGGATTACCATTCGAGGACGAGCGGCTCTCTCGTCTCTGAAGAGAACTTTGAATGTTGCAAAGACGAAGTTCTTGACCTGTTTCCATTGGTTATTTTAACTCATTAAAAATAGTAACCACAGAAAATTTGGCTGTAGATGTGGTGATAGATGCACATTTTTTTCATCCGGAACATTGACCAACATCTTTGTCTGATATTGGCAGTTATTTTAGGCATATTTATTGTACTATTAACTTTAAATCGGCAGTTATCTTATCTGCCCTAGCTAATCTGTAGCGGGCAGAATGCCAACTATTATTAGCAACTACTACTAGGGCCATTGTTAGTTTAACAAATAAGAACAATTTCTAATATCAATAAAACAGAATCATATGTAAGAATTGGACAAAATTCGTTCAGAATAAAACAGCTTCATAGATATTTTATGCTAACATAAATTATTCAACATATATAGGGTAATTCAATTTTAACTTATTACTATTAAGTGCGAACTGTCATAAGTTTACCCTAAATACACATTATTATATTCTGCAGTGCCAATCTAAAGTAGGATCACATAAACAACATTTCATGCAGTTTTATATTTTGGAAACTTATTTATAGTACGGCAGATGGGGGTGGGCAGATTCATCATTCATTTGGCACTGCATACTAGTACTGACTACCCTATCCTTAAAAGACAATTGGCGATTTTGATTAAACGAAAATAAAAACTGTCCATCGATATAATTTAAGCAACTGAAAGCCCGCCCCACAGTCAAGTATACATCACTTTCTTGTACTCATTTCATTTGAAACTGAAGAGAAAAACACTCCAACTTACCCATACCTTCTGATCTTTCTGACAATTTCACGGGAAAACTATAAATGTGGCAGCACACGGCTCGGCAGCACACAGGTTTCATTTCACAAGACCTAGTTTCTTTGCTTCTGTCTCGTAGATGAGAAGTCGCCACATTTTGACAACGAACACCTCTGCCTCCTCTTCTAACACCTGTCAGATTATTAATTCAATCACCGTTACAAAAAAAACTGTATAAACTAATAATATAAGTCACAAACAAAGACAAATCTATTGAATTTTCAACACCAACAGACCGATATGAACATTGAAGATGCTACGTTTGATACAGTAGCATGAAACTTACAATAGCGACATCTTGAAGAATGTTTTCAGGCTGAGATTGAGCGAGAACTTTGCTGCAGATAAATCCACACAAACTGGGCTCCTCCTCCCCAATATACTCCACTATCTTCTTGTTTATCCAACTCTTCACTCGGCGCTCCATCAGATCCTTGTCTAGTACGGACCAGTCCAAAGGATAAGCGAACAGTTCCTCTTTTTGTGTGGGAATCCTGGGAATATTAATTGTAAATGGTAACTAAAATGGAGTAATATGTTGTTGAAATAATATAGCAAGGGTCACATTAAAGTAATGTTAAATATATAATACGTACTTGTCAATTAGCTGTTTTATGCTTTTCCGCTTATCCTCTGCACTGATGGTAGGTTTTTCTTCAGGTGTGTCAGCAGAATGAGGGAGAGGATTAGATTTTCCCGAAAGTGGGTTGTTCTTTATCAGAGAATCCGTCAACTGAAATTTGAATTAGCATTAACAGCTATTTGGAATGTTAACAATTGCTATGATTGTAAAGCTTAAAAACTAACAAGATTCAGAACGTTCATTCCAAGGTCATGGTAAAAGTGAAGAAACTTACCCTCTTGTCCTCCGCTGAAGGTAGTGACAGTTTTAATTTTCGAGAGTTGTCATTGTTTTCCTCGTCCTCGTCTTGATTGAAGACATTGCTCACCTCCAGCTTCTTACGTTTACCGCCTAATTGTATGGTTGTCGTCGACTCGGACTGCAAGAACAATAGGTTAACAAAACAAACAAACATGGTGAAAATAATGGGATATGATAAAGGCTGATTAGAGTCATAAATATCCAGTAGAGTATATAATATGCAAATTGAGATTCCAGATGCAACTTACTGATTTTCCGGTTTTCATCTGGAAACCAAAAACAGGGCCATTATTAGAGTTTGCAGCTGGGGAAGCATTAGGAACAGCCTTCATGGCAGGTTGTTTAATGATTATGGTGGCTGGAGGAGCAGGAGGCATGTTAGGAGTGACAGATCTGTCTCTGGAATGTCTGTCTCTGGAATGTCTGTCTCGGGAGTATCTATCGATAGAGTGCCTATCTCTGGAGGGCCTGTCACTGGAGGGTGGTTCGATTATCTGAGCTGGAAGTGAGATTTCTGAAAGGTTTGGAACGAGGGGTTTAGCAGCGTGGACTGGCGAGGAATCAGGTGACTCCTCAGATCCACTCTCTTCTGCTTTGTTTAATTTAGCGATCAGCTCATCAGGATCCTTATCAGGGTATTCCTCCTGGAGTCTGCGTCTCAGTTCCTCTACTTCTTCCTTCTCCTTCTTCCTGTCCCTCTCGTCTGACTCTATTTCCCTTTCTCTGTCTCGAATACGCCTCGACAGTGCCGAACCTGCATAAATATAGAATAAATAACTTTCATACACAATGGAATAACACATGTTGGTGTTATCAGTAGCCTACAGTTCGCGTTAAATCCAATTCACAAATAAGGTTTCATGTTAACTGTTATATTAATCGAACTTCAACATACCTCTGTAGTATTTTTCATCGTCACGTTCATCTTCATAATCTTCAAGAAACGCAGCGATCTTCTTCCTCTCCTTTGCCTGCTCTTCTTTCCTCTCAGCCTCGTGGTCCTCGTACGCCTCGTACTCTCGCCTCTTCTGGCGTTCCCTCAGTTCCCAGCCGTCTAGTCTCTTCCTGTACGCGTCGTATCGTGCTCTCTTTTTCTTCTCCAACTTTTTTCTAATTTGAGCTTCGTCACTGGGTTCACTAGGGTATCAGCGTTTGAGCATACTTTATAAAACTTTGATAAAGTAATTAATTGTCGAGAAACTCCTTTGACAAACAATAATTGGCTTCAAGAGAAGAGTGAATAAGAACTAAGCAAACTCACTCTCTTCGCTCAGATCTCCTTTCGTCGTCCGACCCGCCTGATTCGTATCCTGATGGATAATTATCATTAGACAATATCCGTGTAATACTACACTAGGGAGTTGAGTACAAATTGTATGACGTAATGTACATCGCACACTCGATAAGGTTAATTGTTATTATACATCCAAGCTGAAAATAATTGCGTACATAGATGCACGCGCGCGCGCGCCGAAGGATTTGACGCGAGCAGCATGGTTGTTTGCTTTGTATGAGAGATGGTGATAAAATACCAGTATTTGGTAGATAAATCCGTAACATTATGAACGATTGTGACAAGAGGAGAGGGGCCTTCCTTAATTCTTTACCTTTATGATTCATGTTGTTCAAGCGGATTGCCAAAGGTCTTAGCTTTTCAACACTAACAAATTTAATCGTTAAGATTAGGGTGGAGATAATCGAGTTGAAGTGAGGTTTAGAATTGGCCAGGATTGAGTTAAGTTTCAAGCTCGAGTATAGTATTACAGGATCAGTAGGGTCATATAATCAGAGTTAAATTTGTACATGGCACGGAATAGTCTCCGGAAATGGACTCCTTCGATAACGTAATTCACATTTCACATGCCTAGGATGAGTCGGACATCCAGCGAAAAGTATAATTCGATGGATAAAAAAACCGTGCACTCAACAACAACAAAAACCGTACTCACCTCTTTTAGAACGCTCTCTAGAAGGAGACTTCCTCCTCCTTCTCCTATCTTCACTTCTCTCTCTTCTCCTTTCCTCCACCCTCTTCGGGGGACTGCGGGGTCGCTGGCTGCGATCTCTGCTCCTCTCGCGCGAGCGTGGCTCGCGACTCCGCTCTCTTGAATCGTCGCGGGAACCACGTCTTCCCCCTCTTTTCGGTCTATCTTCCTGCTTGTCCTAAGAGAAGGTAGAGTCAGAACAAGCCAGGACGGTAGCAGAAACTCTGCTACATTATCATTTATACACTGCAAGAGGGGCTTTATTTTTTCGTTCAATATTGCAAAGTATTGGAAATCATTTAAAGATTAAGCCGTGCACATGATTGACTAGATAAATCCCAAATTGTGAAAAATAACGGCATATAAATGTATACATATGAAGCGGTTGTGTACATGTCAGCGTACTATTAAATCAAAGCTGTAGTGAAAGATATGTATAAATTGAAATTACATCCTACAAAATAGAACACACGATATCAACCAGTGTCAGTTTGGTGCATATCGTAACACATTATAATGAGAGTGAGTTTTACAGAAAAGTTTAGTGGGTTGCGTTCTCACTTACTAGGTAGGTGGGGTCAGGTAGCCATCCCAGGAGGACCGCGGAGAGTCACATTTATGAGCTGTGTTGGGTAAATCTAATAAGTTTTAAGATACTTTCACGGAAACACACCTCCTTTTATACTACATTCATTTAACGTTCAGGACACGGTACAAGAGATGTTTTATTTTAGAAATTTTCTAGGTCAGTTGATACCTTTGCTTATGATTTGTCCTTTTAATTGCCTACTGTTTATTTTGTTCAGGCAACATGTAAGATAATTTAGTGCCCTTCCACGTTTTGGAATACAGGGCCAGGGCACATGCAAAAATTTTAGTTTTTTCCGAAGGTATGATCTAATTTCAGTTCTAGGGCAGAATGTGCGTGATTTTAAATCATCCTTACACACCCAGGTATGGGAACAAAAGAATGCGCAGAATGTTACACACAAAGTTGTACATACGACTGAGATCAGGGACTGTTGCAGCACTGCGCGGCTTTTCCACAGCACGCCCTGACATGTGTTATTTATTGTTACTCCTTCATCAACTTTCTTGTTTCACTTCCTATCTTTGAAACCTTTACACGGGACCAAAATTTAAACCACCTTTTTTAACTACCCTTACCTTTAAACATTAAAAACTAATTTAAAATTAAACTAAAAAACTAAAAACCGAAAATGCTTGAAGTAATTAAAAATAAATACACTTTTAGGTGCTATTAACAGTTGTGGTCTGTGCAATATGTAGCCGGTTGTGTAGCGACAGTAGCGCTAATCTTTATAACACAGCACACGGTAGTACAAAGAGTGTTCTTACACTCGTGGTAATTTGCACTGTGCTACAATTCGTGTCACTAAGGAGCTGTTGAAAGGAACTCCACCATGTATTGTCAGTATTGCTGGCGGTTCAATTGACTTATGCTTGTGCATTTCATTTTAAGATACCCATATACTTCAACTATTTACTTCAACTATCCATCAACAGCTATCTCACGAGCACTTCCTAACATAATTATGATAATAATTAAAATAATTTATAATAAATTAATTCTGTACAATGAAAACCGACGATGAAAGCATTACACTGCACTATGATTTAAAAAAGTATAGTTGGAACACAAGTTTCTCTGATAAAGCAGGTCGCTTCTCATTGTCAGGTCTAATACAAGTTCTACCCTTAACTCTAACTCCTATTTAAATGTTTACTCACAGATGTCTTGATCAGATGATGTTGGGTGAGTCGGAGGAAAAAGAAGTCTGCAGAAATCACAAATGTATGAATACACACACGAGATTGTGAATTTTACAGTCAGAAGGAATTTTATGCCCTTTTTGAGGGAGAAGATTGTGATTTCCACTGACCTATCAAACAAAGACTTCGGATCTGCCAACACGAGCGTGGCAAACAGTCCACCAATATCACATCTCTTAAATCATATAGTGTGATGGTTGCCACCACATCGGTCGTCATGGAAACGCTAAATGGTAACCACGGCAACAGTTGTCATGGCAACATGCATGAAGTGGTGAGTGGTAGTGGGCCTGGAGTGGGTGTGACTCACCTTGTAAGTGTCCCTAAAACTGCGAATTTCTCGCTCAACTAGACTCTCACGTTCCGCCTCCAGGTTAACGTTGCTGTCTTGGGTCTGAGGATTAATCAGTGCTTAGTGATCAGGTCATATATTCACTCTTCAGGTATCATGATCATAAAGCGACAGGCAAACAATAAAGAAAGCTGCCAAAAAACCGTTATCACTACTCATAAATAACTATGATTTTGTAAATTGTGAGTGTTATCTTAACTTAAGCAAATTAATGGTTCTCACCTCCCCCTCGACGCGCTGCCCAGTAATACGCTTGAGTGCCTTGTCAGCGAGCACGTTGGCAGTTGAGTCGGGGTTATCCTCCTCCTTCGTGAACAAGTCTTTGTTAGCGTTTATCATCGCGTTTATCTCCTTCAGTACATGCTGGTCTTCTTTCTGGAACAATTTTCAGTCAGTTTATTTCCGAAATCTTAAACACACGGAACAAGAATTACAGTTAAATACACTGGACAGCAGGAATAAAGAATTGAACAACCAGTTATCGCACAAAACCAACCTTGGTACGCTCATCCAGGGCATTGTCATTTTCTGGCATCTTCAGCTTACTTTTCTTCTTCTTGATATGTGCGTCCAGCAGATCTTTTGTTTTTTGATCAACCTGTCAGTTTAGGTGGTTAAAGTGTGTACTACCTTACTCGGGAATATTATAGCGGGTAAGGTATGTACTTGGATTGATAATTGGCATCAAAACATTAAGGAGGATAACTTTAAAATTTGAATCCATTACGATACATTTAACAGCGAGGAAAAAATCGTACTGATCATGGTGCTTACAATGCTCTAGTTTTAACTAACCTTAACAAGAAGCGCTTTATTGGCTATCTCCAGGTCCTTCAAGATTCTTAATGCTCTTAGAGTAGCTTCAGGGTCCCGGTATTCGCAGAAACCAAACGCTGAAAAATATAATCGTTAGTTAAGAACACTCACTGATGTTCTCAATTAAGGTTGTTCCATCATTTCGTAACTTTATTTAATCTAAAACAATTCAGTGAGGCCGACGCCATTTATAAAAATATGGTCTTACCTTGCATTTTGCCAGACGCATCTTGTACCCTTTTCCAAGAGATGATCGGACCACATTTCTGAAACAAAATATCATTTAACAAAACGGATATAAACTCACAAAGCTCCAGAGTCCCAACAATCGTTTGTTAAGGGGGCCGGGGGGGTCTTCATCAAAATTCTCTCGAAATTGACTTTATAGTTGTTTCTGATATAATAGAGGGGAGTGATATCTATCAGCTGTTTTTAGTCCCATGGAGAAATATTGTTCTTAGCCGAAATTATTGCCGGTCAAAGGTCAGCGCTTATGTGTAATTGTATTGCGCGAGCGATTTTCAGTCGCGCGCCCTGAAAAACGAGTCTAAAAATCTATCTTCTCCTACATTTTTTGAGCAATCACCCTGAAACTTTCAGGATATGTTCTAAGGACCATTTAGAAGAGATTGTCGGGCCAGAATTTTGAGATAGGCCTTAGAACATTTTTTATTCGATTTTGAAAATCTTGGACCTGAAAAAATCTTCAAAAAACGAGGTCCAAGATTTTCAAAATTGAATAAAAAATGTTCTAAGGCCTATCTCAAAATTCTGGCCCGACAATCTCTTCTAAATGGTCCTTAGAACATATCCTGAAAGTTTCAGGGTGATTGCTCAAAAAATGTAGGAGAAGATAGATTTTTAGACTCGTTTTTCAGGGCGCGCGACTGAAAATCGCTCGCGCAATACAATTACACATAAGCGCTGACCTTTGACCGGCAATAATTTCAGCTAAGAACAATATTTTTCCATGGGACCAAAAACAGCTGATAGATATCACTCCCCTCTATCAGAAACAACTATAAAGTCAATTTCGAGAGAATTTTGATGAAGACCCCCCCGGCCCCCTTAACGGTCTTGAATGGTAGTTTTGAAAAACTCCATTTGACTCTAGATATACTAGTATTACAAGTATAAACGACCATTTGCATCACGACCATCAACATTTAAAGGGAAAATTAGAGGCAAAGACTGCAGACGTTGGTGATCATAACCGATATTTAAGTTAGAAACTTGCTACTTACAATTAGAACTTGTTTGATGAGGTTATCAGGGACTCGTTCACTAATATTCCCGATAAACACAGTTGTAGTTGGCTGTCCAGGTATGGGCTGTACAACACCGGGGTTGTTGTTGTGATTGTTGTAGTGCGGCTGTAAGAGAATCGTCAAATCCTATCGGATGGTATGAAAGGTTAAAATACCATTTGGTTTCTGCTGTAAATACATGAAACACACATACAAATGCAGCACAAGTGATGTTACTAACACATAAAATGAGTAACAATGTTGCATCACTGACATGTGGTATATGAGAGGTTAAGATATTACATGTAAATGAAACAAATGAAGGGCACGCTTACCCTTACCCTATGATGGGTTTGAAATGTCATCACAGGTTGGATACCGATAGGAATACCCATGTGTATGGGCATCTGCATTGGTAGCGTGGTTGGAGCCCGGATAATTATGTGTGGCTGAAACGTCATGACTAAAGAGAGGAAAAATTATTTTAAAAACTGTGCAGTTAAAACACAGGGAAACTTCTGGATATCAATAAATCAAATCAAATAATAATGACACAAACATCATGTAATTCAAAGGTCTTGTCTTTCCCTTTTAGAAGAATCGTCTTTCACTAAATCCCTAATTTATTCTACTTTCTAAAAATTATTATCACATGCTTTACTTTACTAGACATTTACAATCTATCTTAGATCTAGATGTATCTACTTTATACATTTTCAGTAGTCTTTGAGCAACCCAGCTAGTAGCATTCTTCTTTTCAATCTCCTTTTCTATTTCTTTCAGCACTCTCTCTCGGTGGAGCTCTCTATCATCTTTCTCCTGATCTTCCTTCTCCTGATTCCCATTCTTCATCTCATCCTCCCCCTTCTCCGGGTCCTTTACCTCTTGATCTTCCCTCCCCTCCCTCTCCACTGTATCCTCCTGATCTTTCTTCTCCTCCTGATCCTCTGTATCCTCCTGATCTTTCTTCTTCTCCTGATCTTTCTTCTTCTCCTGATCTTTCTTCTTCTTCTGATCTTTCTCCTCCTCCTGATCTGAACTCTTGGCAGATTTGTATTGGTGAGCTCCAGCAGAAAACGTGCAAGCGGCGTAGGTTATAGAGCATGCTCGGTGGAGATCTCTTTCATCTTTCTCCTGATTTTTCTTCTCCTGACCCCCATTTTTCTTCTCATCCTCCTCCTGATCCTTCCTTTCTTCCTGATACTTCTTTTCATCCTGATTTTTTGTTTCCTCCTGATCTGGATTCTTGGCAGATTTGAATTGGTGAGCTCCTGCAGAAAACTTGTAATCTACGTAGGCAGTGGGATCTAGCCGGTGAGGTCCTCGAACTAACATGTTCAGCAATGAAGATTCAGGCTCTGAGATCTGAGCTTTCATTCGGAGATGGGTGATCATGGGCGATCCCCCAAAGTCTTTTAGAAATGAATATAGGGACTCTAACTCCAGGAGCTTTCGATCATATTTCTCCTGCTCTTCTTTCTCCTGATCCCCATTTATTTTCTCATTCTCCCCCTTCTTCTGATTCTTCCTTTCTTGATCATTCCTTTCATCCTGATCTTTCGTTTCCCCCTGATCTGGATTCTTGGCAGATTTGAATTGGTGAGCTCCTGCAGAAAACTTGTAATCTACGTAGGCAGAGGGGTCTACCTGGTGATGTCTTTGAACTAACATGTTCAGCAATGAAGATTCAGGCTCTGACATCTGAGCTTTCATTCGGAGATAGGTGATCATAGTCTTTAAGAAGTAAATATAGCTCCGGGGGCAGTGACGTTTCGCAGTTTGGTTCATGTCTTCTATATTTATGCAGAAGCACAATAACTTTTAAAAAGTAGCGCTCGATTCGTATAATAGTAGTAGAGGCTCTTACGGGCATTTTCTGCTCGATACGTTAGAGACTCTGGATACACCTTTCTAGACGTATTTTGATCGTAGAATCAATTAATAGTAGTTTTGAGATGATTGGACTGAGTTTCCCCGGGTAAAATTGCAAAAAACCGAATTTTGGGCCCAAAATAGGCCAAAAAACCATGTTTTTTGATATTTTGACCAAATTAACTTTGTTGGTATGTCGAAAAAATTTGCATGATTGCTGTAACACAGCCGCACAACGTGGTACAAAGATAACACAAATTCCTTAAATTTTCTTTGGGTACAAATCCAAAAAGGGGTAGAAATCTAAGCTTTGTTGCGCGCACTTCATTTTTGGTATATAGGTGCTATATTTTGAATTTTTTCATATGTTTTGTGATACCGACTAATTTACATATATTAAATATAATTCTGAACAAAAATTAATTTTAAATGGAACCAAAATTTTAGGTGCGCCGCGCATATTTTCAAAAATTTACACCGTTGTTTGAAAGTTAAGCGCTAAAGCAAATATTGTCATATTTTTACAAAAATACTTTAGCAGTTAGTGTTGTTGTTGCATTTCAAAACTCCTTCTCACACTATTCGGTTTTTACACTATTTTGTTTATTTTGTGTGTAATCCTCATGTTACTAAAAAACGCTTTATCAACTTATATAGTAGTGGAAAGTATGTAAATTAGATTTTTGTATAGCGCAATGCGTTACTGTGCCGCGCACTCAATGAGGCTTCTCCTAGCGAGATGCGCTACTGTGCCGCGCCGAGCTGAGATGAATTGACATCGTCAATTAAATTAAATTCATTTTAACTTGATTGTCTAAGCCAATAGATTTAAAATAATTTTTAAACTTTAGTGGATATATTTTTAATGATGTGTGATGATGTTTGTGTCATTATATTTTGATTTTTTTGATTTGTATTTTGTGCAATTTGATTACTAACTGTGTTTTCATATATTTTATTGATGTGGAGTACCCAAAATAATAACTTAACAAGCTCAAAACGCTACTGATATATTTCTCCGTGAGATCAGAAGCACAATATCGCGAGTAGTTCTTGTCGAAGTGCCTCAAAAGTGATCTAGTTAAACGATTCCCCGTTCAATTTTATTGGGCGGCGCTCAGCCGGCTAATATTAAATACTAGTGGACTCTATGCAGCTCTCCCAGCGCACCTAATTTTACTGATCTGGAGGTCACATTTTATTGAGCCAGTACAGGCTAATATTAAATAATACTAGTGGACTCTATGCAGCTCCCCCAGAGCACCTTATTTTACTGATCTGGAGGTCACATTTTATTGAGCCAGTACAGGCTAATATTAAATACTAGTGGACTCTATGCAGCTCCCCCAGAGCACCTTATTTTACTGATCTGGAGGTCACATTTTATTGGGCCAGTACAGGCTAATATTAAATACTAGTGGACTCTATGCAGCTCCCCCAGAGCACCTTATTTTACTGATCTGGAGGTCACATTTTATTGGGCCAGTACAGGCTAATATTAAATACTAGTGGACTCTATGCAGCTCCCCCAGAGCACCTTATTTTACTGATCTGGAGGTCACACTTTATTGGGCCATTACAGGCTAATATTAAATACTAGTGGACTCTATGCAGCTCTCCCAGCGCATCTAATTTAACTGATCTGGAGGTCACATTTTATTGGGCCATTACAGGCTCATATTAAATACTAGTGGACTCTATGCAGCTCTCCCAGCGCATCTAATTTAACTGATCTGGAGGTCACATTTTATTGAGCCAGTACAGGCTAATATTAAATACTAGTGGACTCTATGCAGCTCCCCCAGAGCACCTTATTTTACTGATCTGGAGGTCACATTTCTCTCCAACCTACTTTATATACTTCTAATACCCTCTTATTATAGACAGTCATGAGGCCGGCACAGCCACGAAATCAAAATCAAGTAACCTTCATACCTTGGTTGATTAACGAGGTAAGTTATAAAGTTTGGTAATGAACTAAAGTATAAATAATCAACATACTTGAATACAACTGGTACTCCTAGCCACTAGGGCCCACCCGCTTTGGTACAAATACTCGCATATTTGTACCAAAGCACTAATTTAATGCTGATTTTAATTTTAAACAATTTCGTTTGTCTTTATTCTCCCAATAAGACAATATCGAATATAGGTACAATGTATAATTTAGTGATTATTTGGTAGACAATCTAGTAGAGTAATCAGAAACTTAAACGAGCATTGTAAAGATGATTCAGTAGAAATTTCATTTAGGAGAATACTCACACTTAACAGAGTTCACAGTAGGTTTTTAATTTTATCTGATATAACTAAAGTATGCACACGTCACACATTGAAGAGGGAGAATGATTCTATTCGTTTTTGAGACTGCTGGCAGACTTCTCAAAAAATCTTTGAATAAAACCTTACTTTGAGTTGTTCTACACAAGAGGCATTTCTTGATTACATATTGCACCGCTCCACTCTTAGCATTGCGACTTCACATAATGTTGTGAGAGTTAAGTTTCATGTTCAAAGTTTCCATTCGAGGCAAGGGATAAAGTTGTATACAATGTGATATATTTGACAAAACTCAAAATTAGTGTTAGTCTACGTGGTATGAAAATTACATCCTACATTTTGTTGACTTACTTATCCGATTCAGATAAATACTGGACATCACAGAGGTTTAGAATGGATTGATGCGAGTCAAAAAATCGCCTGCATACCTTGGCCACGAGCTAAAGGTAAGATAAACATTCAAAATGCAGACAAGATTTCATCTTAAATTCAAACCGGACTTCATTTCATAGACAAAATTTAATTTGTCTCACCGTCGTGTTCGCCGATGTGGAGCCACATTTCAGCTCAGTAGAATATGGCATTAGAAATATCAATTTTTTATTCCTCAAAGTTTGGCCGAATGGGTATGGGTATTGATGGGGTTGCCCCCCCCCCCCCCCCCATCAATATCAAATAATTATTTGGACTTCAGAAAACTTGCCTATGGAGGAATTGGGAGTCATATACTGCTGGCACAAGTACAGATTTGGGGACAACTACAATCAGAGCAAATCACCCAGTACTTTAAAAGGTTGGAACACTTCATTTCTCAATTAGTTATCTTGCTTGACACTAAAGATTATTGTTAAGTTGTATCAAAACCTTCAAGAGGGACTTTCCGAGTCATAATTAATTCAAGAGACGAGATTACAAAGCTATATGAGAGAAAATCACCCAGTACTTTGAAAGGTTGAAATGAAATGAAATAAAGCATTTATATCCCGCTTATAAAGCAACCAATATTCTTTAAATAAAAATTGCCGACTCCAAAGCAGCTGGCATGGCGACAAAAGTGATAATTTAAACTCCAGAATGCATGTGTGTTCCCAGTTAATGTAATGTGTTAGAGTTCATATAAATATGTAATATCTATTTTATTAAATAAGAAGTAAACACTTACATCTCGCTCATCTCACAAATTCTACCACTTCTGATAAAATAATGTTTATTAGGATCTTCCTTGACTTTCGTCTTTAAATCTAGAACCAATTGTCTATGTATTGCACGCTCCTCCGGCAACCGATCCGGTGAAATAAACACAGTTTTGAAACACTGAAACAGTCTGAGTTCTTTAGCTTTTATCAGTATCTGATGAACGGTGCTAGAGCTTCCAAATGATACTTTGACAGCTCTAGGTTTTTCAGCAGATATATTCCCAATTCTAGCAGCTTCGAAGCGTGGCTTCTCTGCCATTTGTTCAAACACATCACCAATTTTATCGCCGAGTTTCTCTCCTGCATCCTCCTTGAGACCAAAATTCAAGACATTTCTGCTGCGATCTTCTTCAGCTACAATATTCTGAACTACTTTCTTCAAGTTCTCTGCCGTGAAAGTGGAGGTAGAGCTGGGGGAATGTTTTGACACAGCAGCACTGTAAGACTGAATCTCAGCTTGAACAGTATTCTCTACAGCGGTTTTAACAGTGTTTAACAGTTCTCTGGACTGAATCCAGCTTTTTAGTCTTAATATCTAAGAGTTTCCCTTGCAACTGAATAACTGATTTCTGAGCATTAGTAATTTAACTTTTCATTTCCTCTAATTTTGTTGTCACTTTTAGGAAGAGATCTTTATGTCCAACAATACCCTGAAACGCATCAAAAAGGTGCTTTACTAAAACGTCCTTGTTTGGTTTCTTGAACTTGTCTAATATATGTCTTAATTCATCATAGTTTATTGTCTTCATCACTTCCTTAACCCAACAACCGAGATCATTAGCAGCATCAGTATAAACTAGCCCATATATTATTCACTTGACCACATTGAAGAGTCCCGCTCCACATGTTCCATAATGTACTCAGAATTGTATAGCACCAGACACAAAGTAGCAGCTAAGTCGTCGTTAAATTGCGATAAGAGATGAGATAAGAGAGCTCAAAAACAGCGCGTATCAAAACTACACGCCACACACTACATTGGAACACTTCATTTCTTAATTAGTTAATTACTAATTGCTTGACACTAGAGATTATTGTTAAAAAATTGATGGAGGTGGACGAACAAATTGTATCAAAACCTTTAACAGGGACTTTCCGAGCCATCATTAATTCAAGAGACGAGATTACAAAGCTCCGCGATGAGGAAAACATGATTCACATCCAGATAAGTTAGTCTTTAACTTTAAAAAGTTTTTAATTTATAGGTTTATTCATTGCTCTCATGTTAATGGAATAGTTTACTAAACTTCCTGCTCGACAGATTGCACTGTACCAGATTCTCAAAAGACACCAGTAGCCTCACCTAGTTACCTCCCCTCGCCCTCCCAACCAGGAATGTGGCCTAGTGGACATTCCTCGGTTAACTCCAGTCCTATCTTACAC